GATTTTGGACATTTACATTTTTAGGAGTTTTTAGTTGCGGAAATCAACGTATGTAGCCGTCCGCATAAAAAGTGCCCAATTTGTCGATATGGCGTCACCATATTGGAAACAACAGTCCCCAAATTTTAATTAAAAATCAATTTTTTTTCTGACAATCAAAATTTTTTTCTCTGTACTTGACCTAATTATGTGCCTCATATCATTAATGATTTCATGAAGGAAAACGTTATAATATCCACCAGGGAATCATCACTGAATGTAACATTATCTTAAGGGGAGACTACTATGAGTTTTAAAAGCCGTGGGTTATTGGAAAGAGACTTCATGCGTTGAAGATCGATTATATAGATCTGAAAACGAATAATTCGTGCAAAAAAAAAATTTTTTTTTCGTTCGTTTGTCCGAAAACGTTCAAAATGCCAAAAACAGTCCAGGGCCTCTAATTTTTGAGCTACGAAGGATTTTTTTTTTCAAAATTCTTGGGAAAAATATGTGGAATAACTTTTTTTACACAAATAGTGAATTTTTTTATATGAAAAAAACCGAAATCAGCTGTCTAGGGGTCGAATTTCAAAAAACTGGCTCGTAATTGTTGTTCCACACATTTTTCCGAAAATTTTGAAAAAAAAATCTTTTGTAGCTCAAAAATTGGAGGCCCTGGACTGTTTCTAGCATTTTAAGGGTTTTCGGGCAAACGAACAATAAAAAAAAAATTTTTTTGCACGAATTATTCGTTTTCAGATCTATATAATCGATCTTTAACGTATGAAAAGCTCCTTCCAATAACCCACGACTTTTAAAACCCCCCTTAATTAATAATTGCAAGCACACGTATCCCTATTTTCGACTGGAAATAAAAACAAAAAAAACGTTCGCCACCTGTTTTCCAGTCCGTTATACTGATAGCAGCCCAGGGCTGACCAGTTCTCGTCGATTCGTCGCCATGCCGCCTTGAAAGCCGTGGATGCGAAAAATATATTCGAATTTACATTCCAGAATGTTCGAGTTTACTCGAGAATGCCTCCACAAACAATCCCAAATCGTCATGCCTACTTAGTCATCATGCAATGGTTTTTTGCATCGATTTATCCAAATATTTTTATTGTGAAAATTGCATTTGGTATTGAAGTCAACGGATAAAGCAATGCATATCGCAATAAGGGAAATAAATCGAAGCAAAAGTCATTGACATCGTGACTTGGTTTTAATTGAGTCGAGACAACTTTTCACTGCGTGTGGAGAATCAAGGTCACGCTTACGATTGAGGCCAAGTCCTCTCATACGATATCCAACTATTTTAAATTCTTTTGAATCATTAAAAGCGATTTTATTGGGCTTCTGATAAGTACTTTGTAACAAATAAGATAATGATAATCGAGAGATTATGTTATCACCCATATTTTCATATTCTCGTGGTAAAAATTTCGTATTTGAATAAAGTTCAAAGCGAATTGAAATAAAGCCTGAAATGAAACGATAAGTAGAGGACGTATGTCTCATGTTAATGCACTGAGGAAAAAAGGCTTTTGCTTTCAGGAATAAAATTCCTCGTTTTTACACAGGGAAAAAAAATATTTCTTCAAACAAGAGTTGTTTGAAAATTAGCAAATTTCTGTTGCAAGAACACGAGTTGTTTGAGAATTCGTAAGTATTTCTCTCAGTGCAGGAATTCTCACTTGTTGAATTTTAAAATTAAATTCCTGAGGACTAATTTATTTTTTTCTGTGTCGATTTTGACGTACGCTGTTAAAAATTTTCGTCTGATTTTTCTGTGCCAAATCCTGGAAATTTTTATCGTGTTTAATTTCCACTGAAATTTCAGGGAATATTATCATTGAAAAATCAAATATTCCATCGATTTTCTGTTTGAATGATGAAAATGATGAAATGAATGGTGAAAGTCAATAAAATACTTGATTTTTCAATTAAATTATTCCGTGAAAATTCAGAAAAATCAGGAAAATTCAGGGAAAAATTGAAAATTCATGTCATTTTCTTCCTGAATATTCATGTTCCATTGAAAATTCAATCAAGTTGTGAAATTTCTATCTCACCCCCACTGAAAGCTCATGAATTTCCTTAAATTCTCCCTAAAACTTGAAATTTCATAAATTTCTTTTTTCCCCTAAATCCATTACTATTATATTTTCCATAAAATTTCAAAAAAATTTCAACTGTATGATTTAAATTCACGAGTTTTTCGAATAAAATGAAAACGAAATGCTCAGGAGATAAAAGTAATCGCACAATTATTCGCTCGATTAGATTCCACGCCTTCTGGAATTGTCATTTCAGAAGTAGATCAGCTGGGTGAGACCTCCACAGCAAGGCGAGGCGAATTTATAATCTATTGAAGGGCAGATATTCATTCCCTCCACACCTACGATTCTGACCATTCTCATGCAGACGTCCGCCTTCAAAACATTACCGTATATGGCTTTATTGAGTAAAAATTCGCATTCGGGTGAATATGAAGGTGATCTCGACAGAGAGCGGACTTAAGAGGTTTTTGTAGATTGAGGAATTGAATGAGTTTTTACGAAAATATTAGAAATGGAGGAAACTCTTCCAAACAGACTTGTGTGCAAGTAAAACTTTTTTTTAAATTTATTTTCGAATTGATAAAATATCTCTATTAGACTTTGAGAATGAAAAAAAATAGAGGACAATGTGGAATAATATGCTGAATTTAATGATTGAGGAATTGAATGAGTTTTAGCAAAAATATTTGAAATACAAGAAACTCTTTCAAATAGAGCTGAAAGTAAACTATTTTTAAGGATTTATTTTCGAATTGAGAAAGAATTCCCAAGATTCTGAATTTGAAAAACAAGGGGCAATATGAAATAGTATTCAATGGACTAGAAGCATTTGTGACTTCTAGGAAAATGTTGGAATTATTTAGAAAAATGAAAGCAGTATTTTCTTCTTTTCGTTTCTGAATAATTAATTAGTTGTTGATGGGTTAAATCAGTTGATGGGTTAAAATGGTTAATATTAAGATCGTGAAGATGACGTTGTTTACCAGCGAATGATGTGTATACATCATTTAAAAGCCAAATTCTTTCATGCGGGGGAAAAATTAAATTTTTTTAGCCGAACGATCAAACTAATGAATTTTCATGATAACTGAGAAAAATCAGTCTTTACCTGACTGGAATAAACAATTTTTTTTCTTATACAGGGCGTCTCATGGGATTTATTTTTGGATTGATAATTTATCTGGAATAATATTCCGGAAATGAAATTGATAAATAGTGGAAAGTATGACAAGATTAACTTCTGATCAAATCTTGAATTAATCGGCGTTGGCAGGTTGGAATAGTTATTAATACGATGGAGATACCTCTACTTTCTCTATCAACAAGAGAAATAAAGAATTCTTCGAATGCCTGCGGTTTTTGATAAAATCCTTATCTAAGGACTTTGACCATTTTTCTCGCAGAAATACTCTTCAACATTTTGAAGAGAACATTGGGAGCTTTATTTGAGACCCACTTGACTCTCGGTTATCGAATATTTTGTCATAATTTTATATGAGAACTTTTCAAGTTTTGATTTTTCATTTTGAACCACTGATAAACGTCTTTACAATTCGAAGAAAATTACAATTTCTGGTTATTGAGAATAATTCATAGAATATTTTAAGAATCGTAAGTTATAAAAATTCTCGATTGTTTCATGAACAGGGGAGGTTGGGGTAAAACGGACACTTTTGACTTTTTTAAAAATGTTAATGAGGGGTTGCAATGTTGATGAAAGTTAATAATTTTTTTCCAATACAAAGAACAAGTCTTTCCCTTTGTGACGAGCCTAAATTGAGCTCAATTGAGAAATTTGTTTCTGAGCTATGAATAATTTTTAAAAAGTCTAAAGTGTCCATTTTACCCCACCCTCCCCTAATTGATAAACACTAAATTTTTTTAATCGTAACACATTCAGATTTAAATGCCATCAGAAATCCATTTCATGCCAAAAAATGAATGCAAAAAATAAAGTTTTGTAAAATTTTCATCGTCTATTCATAAAAAACACTGACGAATGTAATTTTCAACTAAATTTACATAAAAACGCCTATGAATTCCTATGAATTCCAATTTCAAAATCCATTTCATGCCAAATAATGAATGCAAAAAATAAAGTTTTGTAAAATTTTCATCGTCTATTCATAAAAAACACTGACGAATGTAATTTTCAACTAAATTTACATAAAAACGCCTATGAATTCCTATGAATTCCAATTTCAAAATCCATTTCATGCCAAATAATGAATGCAAAAAATAAAGTTTTGTAAAATTTTCATCGTCTATTCATAAAAACACTGAAGAACGCAATTTTTCACTAAATTTACATAAAAACGCCTATGAATTTTTACAATTGCAATTTCAAAATCCATTTCATGCCAAATAATGAATGCAAAAAATAAAGTTTTGTAAAATTTTCATCGTCTATTCATAAAAAACACTGACGAATGTAATTTTTCACTAAATTTCCATAAAAATTGCCTATGAATTTTCGCAACTCCAATTTCAAAATCCATTTCAGGCCAAAAAATGAATACAAAAAATGAAGTTTTCTCAAATTTTCCTCGTCTGCTAATAAAAAAAAACTGAAGTATGTAATTTTTCACTAAATTTCCATAAAAACTGCCCATGAATCTTGCAATTCCAATGTCAATCCACAAATTCAATCATCAAAAATCTCCAAAATTTGTATCATAATCCCCTCAAAACTCCGAAATCCACTCAAACGTCGTTCCCAGACGAACAAATATAACTACCCCCTGAATTTAATTCCCACATGATTCAATGAATGAACGTACATATCCCTATATCCTCGTCATGACTCATCGCTACGTTATGTGACGCATCGTCCTTCGGTTGTTTCATCCGTCGTGAGGAAATTCCCCCTTCGTCGTGAATCACTCGTTTGAAAATCGAGTAAAAACGTTTCATTGGCTCTTCTGGGTCAGTTAACCGAGCTCTTCAGCCTCTCAACAATCGCCACCTCGCGGCTCTAGGAGCTCTCGCTGCCGTCGACAAGACCCTTAACATCAGCTTCAGCCGTTGGTAATGAAGAAAGACTCCCTTACCCACTCCCAACACAATGATTTGTTTTGCCCTCTGGCGAAACACTCATCTCGCGAAAATAATTCTGAAGACAAGAGTTGACAAAATCGTGCTGTTGAGAAAACACAAAGTAAAAATATGAGTGCTCACTGGGGTACAGGGGGTGACGCTTACTTCATAGAGAATTGACAGCAAACCCCGCAGTATTTCTGGGTAAAAATCGTAACGATTCGATTGTTAAGTTGTCATCTGCTTGGAGATCGTCAGGAGCGAATGAATATCAGTACATTGAGCTCGTTATCTCTGACATTCATGCTTTTGGAAGACAACTGACTACTGGGAGCATGGATGCAAGCGGAGAGTGAAGCTGAATTATTCAACTGAAGAAACAATTTCTACATGATGACTCAAGCCAGCAGGTTCGTGATTTGTTTAATGTTATAACCTTAAAAGTGTTGAATTAAGAGACGCACACGAAAAAATTTCGGGGGAAAAACGTCACGAATTTGATGGAAGAGTCTATTGAATTTCTATTGGAGTTCTAGTGGTTTTTTGGGGGATTGAAGGGGAGAATTCCGCAGCTTTACTGGGCATTCTTTATAGAAAATTTATAATAGAAATTATTCTGTAGAAAAAATCAGTAGAATTTTACCTTTGACATGAATTTTCCCATTTTTTTTCCTCGATTTTCCTCATCTCATTAAAAAAAAAGTGAAACGAAAAAAGTTAGGAAATTTGAGTCGAAGAATTTCTGCAGATTTCTTTTTTTTTCAATAGAAAATGTTCAGTAGAAACTATTTAATGGAAAAAAAAATGAATAGAATTTGATCTTTCAATAAAAGTTTTCTTTTGTATATAAATTTCTCTACATTAATTTTCCCAGTTTTTAATATTTTCTTTGCTCTTATTAAAAAATCAAACAAAATAAAATAAGTTGTACAGAAAAATCGAATCCTATTGATTTTTTTCTACGGAATATTTTCCATTGCAAAAACGCGCAGATGAATTGCAGAATTTTTCTGTAGAATCGACCAAAAACTCAGAGAAAGGTCATAGAAATCCAATGGAGTTCTAGGGAATTCACTAAGCTTTTACATGAAATTTTTTTAAACGTGAATTTATTGAGTTTATTCTAACAATGCCTATTACCAGAAAAATGAAGCGTTTGAATTGAATAATCTTTATCTGCAATTTTTCTATCAATTTAAACAAATGTTATTCATTACTTCAATGAGAATTTTTTCATTATAGAAAAAAAATTAATTCATTTCAAATGAAGAATTATTACATGTTGATGAATTAATTTTATTCACTGAATGAATAATGGATCAATTAACATTTCTTTACCTTCAAAAGACAATTCGTTTGATGCAATAAAACTCTTCATTTGAAATTTTTCTACTCATTTCCACAATTTTTTTTATTACCTCAATGAAAATGAAAATTGGGTCAAAAAACATTTGTTCATAGAAAAGTTGAAGTTTATGTTTGCATAAAAGCTTTATCACAAGCTGTTCAAATAAACCCATCTATTTCATTCAAATAAAACATTTTTTTGTGGATTTTCGTTTGGCTTCGAATTTTTGTTTGGTCTTCGTAATTCTGGAGTGAATTTCGAAATTGATGACAGTGTAGAATAATTATAAAAAGAAGAAAGCGATGATTTAATGGGAATGATTATCTCATTTCATCAACAATTCAGCGAGTTGTTAACATGGAAGGAAAATTCGAAAGTATGGGAGGGTGTGGTAAAATGGACACTTTAGACTTTTTTAAATTATTCATAACTCAGAAACAAATTTATCAATTGAGCGCAGTATAGGCTCACCACAAAGGGAAAGAATTGTTCTTTGTATTGAAAAAAAAAATTATTCAATTTTATCAATATTTCAATCCCTCATTAACATTTCTAAAAAAGTCAAAAGTGTCCGTTTTACCCTACCCTCCCCTATTTATTTTACGTCACGCGTGCAGTCTGCGCCAGGAGATGGAAATGGTCATGATGTATTGAAACAGATATAACCCTGTTTGGTATTTTCTCCGAAGAGATTAGATTATTCATGTTTTTTCGCCTCTTTTTCTGGTGAATCACTGCTGTCCCTTTAATTCGAGAAAATTTTTGCTGTTTACTTCTTCAAATCAATTTCTGCTCACTAAATTAATGCGTAAAATTAATCCTCGTCGAGATAAATTTATGAATAACAAACTGGGAATGTTAAGAGATGGTTAAAACTGTTAATTAAAGTCTCACTAATTATTTATTCATCTTGGAAACGAGTGATATCCAGGGACATATCAAAAGATTTTTTTGTAGCTGACAAAACTCCTATAAAAATGAGTTCTCATCTCCAATTTTTTTTATTCATTCCTCTTGTTATTGTCACAAACATTTTCTTTGTTTTACACCTTTGCACGCCTGTTCCTCTTCTTAAAGATTAAATAACGTCTATTATATAAAATTTCTTCTGAATTCATATTTTAATTGTAACTCAGTTTCATTTAATTAAGATCGAATATCACTGTTAGCCCTCACTTATTTGTTTCTTTTCTCATTACACTGCGATTCCTCATCTTCTATAATCTCAAATTAAATTTTCGTCAACTTTCTGCATATTCTTGTTCTCATCCTCAATTTTTTTATTTATTCATCTGTTGAGTGTCACAAATATTTTCTTTGTTTTACACCTTTGCACGCCTGTTCCTTTTCTTAAAGATTAAATAACGTCTATTATATAAAATTTCTTCTGAATTCATATTTTAATTGTAACTCAGTTTCAATTAATTAAGATCGAATATCACTGTTAACCCTCACTTACTCGTTTTTTCTCTCATTACGCCGTGAGTCCTCATCCTCTATAATCTCAAATTAAATTTTCCTCACCCTTCTGGGTATTCTTCCTTTCGTCGAATTTGAATACAAACTTGAATCACCATTTCATAAAAAAATATAATCAAACAGAAAACGAGGACGCAGTATTGAAGACGAGAGCAGTGAATTCACCCCCCTATCAAAAAGAATAAACAATCTCCACATAAACAACCTGGGAAAGCTCTGTGAAGTGCCAACAGAATCACCACCAGACGCTGAATGGACGAATCGCAATTTTGTGCCATCTCCAAATCACTCTGAGCCATCCCAGAGCTCGTCCTCCTCAGACGGCTTCAGCAATGCAGCCCAGAATAATTTTGTAACCCAGGAGTATCAGCCTGATCTCAGTCCCACCGAGAATCCATACTACTACGAGAACAACAAACTTCTGTATTCACTTTACGTCGAGAGAATGCACAGACGTGTCAACTATGATCTTTAATTCTTCAACGATGAAAATTACTTCATTACATTTATCTCAACGCATTTCGATGATTATTCCGTATCAGTGAAGAATTTAGGACTAAAATTATTCTCTATTGTAATTTAGCGTAAATTGTTGTATTCGATGATGAAATAAATTCCTTTTTTTTCTTTTTCATTATGAAGTCTTTAATGGCAGTAAAATCTGTTGAATGAAAATTATTACATTATACTCGGAAATATTTTATGAATGTTGTGGAGATTTCCTTTCTTCTCTTCTCTGGGTTATGTTTATACTTCCTCGGAATTTCAACCGTTTAATTTATTACTGTCGTTAAAACTCTTCCTCAGACATTTTTTTTTATTTCAATGGAAATGTTTCAATTGTATGAAGGAATTCCAAATAAAGGAATGAATAATAAATAAAGAATAAAATAATTAATAAATCCGTTTTCTTCGAGTTGTAAACGATAAGTTAGTTTCTAACTAAAATTCTTTGTTTTGATTGGGAAAAAATGTGTTTATATTTAAAACACTATTCGATGTGAATAAAAGTTGCAAATAAAAATCACGTTCAAGTGTGAACAGAAGTTTTATGACCTCTTCGAGTAAAATGAAGTTCATTCGATGAAAAGCATTATAAGGGAATAAAAATTACGAAAGAAAAAAAATTCGTCCATGAACCACAGTTTTTTACCTTCAAAAAACCCAATGGACTGATGTTTCATCGCATTCCCTCGTATATATATTTTTTTAAAAGTGTTTGAATTTTTTGTATGAAAAAAATTATTCATTCATCCCAAATAAAGAATTTTAATAAATTATTAAATTAATTCTCTCCGAGTGCTAAACTAGAATTTTATTTCCAGCTAAAGCTCTTTATTTCAACCGAGGAAATATTTGTTTATATTAAAAAATATACATATAACTCCAATATAATGTATAGTATTGCTGATATTTATTATAAACTGGATTAATTACTCAAGGGAACAAATGTAAAACCCGAGAGGGCATACACGTGACTGACTAAATAATATTTAAAAAAAAACTATTTAAGGATGTTTAGCCATTTTTAGCAAATCTTATTTTTTCATGTTCAAGGAAAATTCTATAATTTTTTTGGCTCATAGCAGACCATATGAAACTAACTCCTTCGGTATTAAAAACAAAATTAATTGCAATAGTCTCGCCAGAAATAAATAAACTAATTTTTCCTTATACACGGACTCTTATGGGATTTATTTTGAATTTTATAATTCACCTACTATAACTCTAAAAATAGAAATCAGTGGCAAAGTGGTAAAACGGTTTAAGTCAACTCATCTCCCAGTTGAGTTTTTGAGGAATATTTCCGAATCTAAGGAAGATAGCGAAATTTTCGTAATGACATTTGTTGTAGCATTCAATTGGCTCTACAAAAAATGTTATAACAACAATTTGGCTATCGCCCTTAGATTCTGAGATATTCATTCAAAACTGGTCAATAGTCAAAAATGACTTGTACCGTTTTACCACTTCGCTACTGAAATAAAAATAGAAGTTAATGTGCAAAACTATAGGGCAGGGTAGGGTAAAACGGACACTTTTGACTTTTTTTGAAATATTCATGACGTGTTGAATTGTTCGTGAAATGGAATAATTTTATTTTTCAATTGAAAAACAATGATTCCTCTTTGTGATGAGCTTAGACCTCAGTCTAAGCTCAATCGATCAATTTTGTTTCTGAGTTACGAATAATTTTCGAAAAGCCTAGTGTCCGCTTTACCCCACCCGCCCCTATAATCTCTTCAAATAAAATAAAGTTCATTCAATTAAAAAAAAAAAACATAATAGGTGACTAAAAATCGCGGAAGAAAACCAATTCGTCCCCGCCCCAGAGTTTTTCACCTCCAAAACTCCAACCCCCCGCAACTCCGCCGTATTCCCTCTAAAAAAAATTAAAACCAGCACCAGCCGTCAGTGGCCCCCGTGAGAGTGCGTTTGTCCGAGGCACTGTCCCGTCCACCAGTAGCCAAAGTCCCGTTACTCCAATTCATCCCGTCCGCTATCACAGCCCCTCCGTCCCGAGTCGCCGACCGTCCGCCGTTCGGCACTCACCCAATCCCCGAAAGCCCTTCAGCCCAGCTAAAAAATTGAACCCTCAAAAAAAATCGCGGGAAAACTGCGACTCCAACGCCAGCTGTGAAAATTCGCCGCGCGTGCGCCGCACAAGCCGTGAAAACCCAAGGTATTCGAACGTATTAGTGCCCACGTAACGCATCGGCATTCCCAACAAAAGGCCCCTTCACCGCAGAGCGCACACAAACCCACACACACACCCTCGAGTGAAAATTCAGTGGCACACACCAACGGCCACCACAAAACTCCCGATACCCAAAGGAGAGAATCGAAGGCCCGTTTTGTGGCGCGTCGGTTAGAGGCCTCCCGTTGGCTGTTGCGCTCCCATAGAAATGAGAAAGTCGGCTTGAAGGGAATCGAGAACACGAGTGCGTCGACACGTTTAGTGCCCAGTGCCAAGCTGCGTGTTGAGCCCACCTCAGACACGTGAACCGAAAAAAAATAGATAAATTCCCATATTTTTCTACACACCGAGGGAGCGATCGCCGCACTCGGCATTCCGATTGCCCGGAGCCCCCGCAAAAAATGCTCCACCCCCGAATTCCCTCGTGAAAACGTCAAATCGCCGAAAATCGGACAAACCGTCGAGGCCGAATGAACTAGTTAAAAAAAAAGAAAAACGAAATAAAACTCAGCCTGCGAGTTCAGTCGGGTTTTATTCCACCTTGTGAGTACGTGTAGGTATATGCCGTCATTCCCGTGCGGTTCACGAGTGAAACAACACAGTGTCGTTGCAGCTACTGCAGTGAGAACGTCAAAGTGTTTCAAGTTGATTAATAACTTCAGTCCAAAACTATTGATGCAACACCACGGGTAAGTGCACAGCAAACTGGTGATTCCCATTAGTACAGCCCCACGACTCGAGTCACTCGATTGTCGGGCGAATGTTTTCACTGGGCGAAAAAATAACTAAAACGGAGTAAAAGAGCGAAACGGTGGCCACCGAGAGCACCCACCCCAAGACACTAAAATCGTCGCGGGTACCTCGTCGTGGCTCCACGCTCTGGCTCGGTCTCTATGGGCTTTTGGTGGGGTGGTTGGAGGTGCGGACAGTGGTTGAGAGGCTGGTGGGGTTGGAAATTGCGTGGTGGTGGGTGAACCACCACGCCAGGCCCCTCCGTAGCATCTCTGGCTTCTCCTGCGGTACCTCCGCACGCTTTTAACGCTCGACGCGTCATTTTTTTTATTCTCTCCCGGGATTCTCTTTTCGCGTCTTGTTGGGGACGAGATCAACTGTTTCTTTTTTTTTTTCCCACTTCTCCCCCTGGGCACAGGAAAATTGGGTGGGGGTGTAAACAACGGATTTTTACGGACGAGACGCGGGCATTCTCATTCGGCGGACTGACGTCGATCGGGGACATTCCACCCCCTTTCACATTTCCCGAGAACACGACATTTTTTTTTATCGATTCATTATTTTTAATCAGCGAGCGATGAAATCGCTGCGATGGCTCGATGACTTTGTCTCGGATTTTTCAGGATATTTTCGAGACTTCTCGTTGGCATCCCACAATGGCGGCGATGCTGACGTGGCCATGACTCATGGCCAACGCCCGATCAACGGCGTCTCTCCTCACTCAAGCATTCAATTGCAATTAATCAATTATTCTCCCCCGATCAGTCGCATTTTTAAAAATAATCGTGAGCAACTGGCGCAATTAGCTTGCGAAAACCGGAAAATATTCGGGATTAGTGTATTCATTGTACTGCGCAGTTGCTATTCTCCGCATCATGAGCATTACCTACGTCACGCCGTGATTACAGACGGCACTCTCTCTGTCCCCTGCAACAACGTCCCGTGGCCAATTGCCAACGTTTTACCGAACAGATACAGAAATAACGGAGTAACAAATTCCGTAATTGTAAAAATTGAGTCGTTTTGTAATGAACGATCGAGTGAGTGCACAGATGACGAATGGAGTTGAGTACAGGTGATTGGCCACAGTGATTAATGTGTGTGCTTGAGCCGGTGGATCACTTGTTAAAGATTCAACTTTCACCGTTAATATTTTCGTGTAGAAAGGTAAGAAATAACGACGCGTTATGCCCCGGCGTCGGGTAATGGGGTTAACCGTTCGGATAACGCTGTGAAGGGCACCCACGAGCGTGGGATTGACACTAGGGTATCCCCTCACCCGAAACAGAAGTGTATGTTCTATCAACATAGCCTTCTCCCTTCCTCTGATTCCTCGGCGATCGCATGGGAGTTGTATCCCTTCTTTCTTGGCCATGCCCCTACCCTTCGGACTACTGCCACCACTGCCAGAACCGGGAGTAGTCACCCTTCCTTCCTTCCTTCCTTCCTGCCTCTTCACCGTTTTGCGTCTTTTATTACGCGTTTTTTTTTATCAAGTCGCCGGTTGTTTACTCCTGGGGATGTGGGGGGGTCATCGATGCACTCGTTTGAGGTGGAAAAAAGCTCGCGGATCGGGGATTAACCGGCGTTTTAATGCTTTGGTCGGGGATTTTTCAACGGCTGCAGTCGTGAATATCATCGCTGACTTCTACCCCCTACCCCCTATTGTACGCCGTTCGGGTGGTGGTAGCACTCTGCGGCACACTTTGAGGGATACCGATGCGGCAGGGGAGAGGGTGGGGCTCGAGACAGGAGTTGGGTTCAACTGCATCTCATGCTCAATTCTGTCGAGAAGGTTTCGGGGTTGCAGGGGCTGAGGGGATTGGATGAATTTTATGGTTTTGGGGGTGGAGGGATGATGTTACTGGAATTGTTATGATTCTTTCGGAATTTAGGGAGGGAAATGCTAGGGGGAAGGGCGGAAAATGCATTGAAGGACTGCACTTCACAATTCATCCAAAAACTTCATTTTTCCGGGTTCAATGCGACTGCTTTGGAGTTTTGTTTGAATGAATTTTATGATTTTGGAATTCTGGGGCTGAGAATAATTATTGAAATTATGACATTTTTTAGGACATTTGAAGAGAAGAAATACTAGAGTAGCCAGTTTTATTCGAAAAGTTCATGTTTTCCTGGTGAATGCAACTGTTTTGGAGCTTTCTTGGATGAATTTTATCATTTTGTGATTCCCGGGGCTAGACGATTGAAATTATTACGTTTTTTACGAAATCCTGAAAGGGAAAATACTGGAGTTGAGAGTAGAAATTGTCTGGAAAAATGCATTGAATGGATCGCATTTCAAGATGAATTAATCAAAAAACATCAATTTGCCAGTGAATTGAATTGCTTCAATTTTGAAAAATATTCTTGAATAATTTTATAATTCTCTGAACTATATAACTAAAATTATTTCCAATTCCTACGAAATTGAGAGGAAAAAATTATAGTTGAGACTAGAAAATATCCTTAAAAATGCATTGAATGAATCGCCTCTCAAAATGAACTCATCAAAAAACATAAATTTTGCCTGTAAGTTGAATTGCTCTGATTTTTATAAATATTTTTGAAATTTATGATTTTATGATTCTCTACACGACGAAATTAAAATTGTCAACACTTCAACTATTGCATCTCAAGCTCAATTCATCCAAAAACTGTATTCTTCCCATTGAAATAAATTGCTTCAATACTTTCTATGATTACAAAAAATTTTCTTCAATAATTTTATAATTCTCTAAACTACGTAACTAAAATTATTTCAATTCCTACGAAATTCAGACAGGAAAAAAATTAGAATTGAGACTAGAAAATACTCATTAAATGCATTGGATGGATCACATCTCAAGTGCAATTCATCGAAAAACTTTATTCTTCCCATTGAAATAAATAGTTTGATCACTTTGTTTGATTGAAAAAAAATCTTCAATAATTTTATAATTCTCCGAACTACGTAACTAAAGTTATTCAAATTCCTACGAAATTCAAAGAGGAAAAAAATTTGAGTTGGGACTGGAAAATACCCATAAGAATGCATTGAATGAAGTACACTTCAAACTATGTAACTGAAAAATTTCATAATTTCCATAAAATTCAAGAGAAAAAATCCCCGAAAAAGGCATTGATTGAATATTTCATACAAAACCGAAGTAACTTCGACCGCTCAACACGCACGTCTCCAGGTACTCGGATACTTCTAGGGGTGGGGGTGGAGTGGGAGGGGAGCTTAGGCTACTTAAAATGTAGTTTTTCTCGTAAACGTCGGGCTAGGGTTCAATCTTCCCCCACCCCCTACCCCCCTTCTCCTTCCCTATTTCGTGCAAAACTCAACCGCGAATGATGGTGAGATGGTGGGTGGTGGTGGATTGGGTGCGCGGTGGTGGCGGCGTTTCAGGAGAGAAATGGGGGGAGGAGAGGAGGAGGGGGTGAAGAGATGTGACGGGTGGTGGGTTGGATTTTTCTCGGCCTTTTTTTTCGGGTTTTCGATGGCGAGGGAAAGGGAGAGTGAAATGGTATGGAGGAGGGGTGTTGATGGTGCTGATGGGAGGGGGTGACCTTGGGGGTTTTTCTGGGGGTAGAATGGGTACTTTGGATATTTGTGTGGAGGAAGTGAATTCTCGATTGAGTTGGAGAGGGAAAAGTTTTATTTTTATTTTTTAAAGAAAAAATTTTTTTCTTTTGGTAACAATTTCATTGAATTAATTTAAATATTGAAAAAAATTGATGCCTCAAAGGTTTTTTATTGCATAATATTCACAGAAAAATTCATAACTGTCTTTAATTGATTTTATTAATTAATTTGATGGGTCACCCAATTTATTTCGATTGAGTTGGACAGGGAGAGATTTTTTAAAAAATGTTTTTAACGAAAAAAATTCTTTGTTTCATTAACAATTTCATGATACTGACATTGATATTAAAAAATTGATGCTTTAAAGGTGTTTTATTGAACAATATTCAAAAAAAATTAATAACTGTCTTAAAACGATTTCATCAATTAATTTCATGATTTGTCCAATTAATTTCGATTCTAATTTTTGAGTTTTTGTGGTGTTTCTCTGGGGTGAGAATTAGAATTGCAGGAAATTAACTCATTCATTGAGATGAAAGAGGGAAGATTTTCATTCTACTTTTTTTGCTTTCGAATGGAGCATTTTTTAAAATTGTTTCGTTTTTAAAAATTGTTTTCAATGCAATGATATTCACATTGACCTTGCCAAAATTCATGCCTCAAAGTTGTTTATTGAATAATATTCAAAAAAATGAATAACTGTGGTTCTGAAATGATTTCATCAATTAATTTGATGATTAATCAAATTAATGTTCATGTTAATTTTGTTTTTATCCCATTTTTGATTGCAGGAATTTAAAATAAAAGTGAAAAAATGAATTTCACGCCTTTCCAAGGGTTCGCCACAGGTACCCTGCCGACAGGAACGGTGCATCAATTTGCAACAGCAAAATTTGCCCAGAATTTAACAACTGGCGGTCAAGTTGTTGGTGTACTTTCTGGTGGTGAAGGTGGTGTACATTATTTAAGGCCAGTCGATCCTAATGGATTTGCAGTGGCTACCCAGGGGGGTAACAATCAGCAGCAACAAATCATAACATTACCAATAACAGTGCCTGGCAAAGATGGTACACAGCAGCAGCAAACCGTCCAAATACAAGTGGTTAATCCAGCTGTGTCACAGGGGGGCAACAGTGGAGATCAGCCCAAGTATCATCTAGCACCAATTTCACTGGGGCAATTTCCACAGGGTGCTGCGACTGTTTTGACGGTTGCTTACAGCCAACAGGGAGCTGATGGGGTGCAGATACAGGTGCAACCACAGAATACTGTTGCCACTACACAAACGTATGTTTTCATGTTTATGATAAATTATTACTTATTTTTATTTCGATGTATCATTTTTTTAAAGATTTCTTGAGGATTGAGGAATATTATTTGATGTGTATGGGCTGATTTGAGGTGTAGCTGGGGTTGAATTACCAATTTAGGGAATTTTTAATCAATTTGAAATTTTTTTTTCAACATTCTTAGGTTTTTAAACGACTTTTGGTGTTTTCTCAAGTCCAAGTTGTTTAAAGTGACAAAAAACTTTATTTTATCATTTTATTTATTCATCTCTTTCGTGTAGAACGTATTCTTTGTTGAATAAGATTTCTTCTAAATTCATATTTTCATTCAATTTAATTCTGTTTTAAATTAGTTGAAATCGAATATCGCCGTTAGTCTCACTTATTGGCCACAAAATACTTTTGAATAACAAAATATTCGTGAATGAATATTGACATAATTTTATGATCCTCTGGAGTACGTAACTAAAATTATTATAATTTCCACAAAATTTAAACAGAAAAAATCCCAAAAAAAAGAAACAAATGTTTAAAAGAATCTCTAAAAATCAGAAAAAAATCATGAAAATACGATGCCCAATATAAAAAGTATCACTAGCGTCAAAATGTTGTCAAACTAGTTTTCAGAGAATTTTCAATGGATTAATTTCTCACACTCATCAAAATTACAATTCGCAAAACAAATTATCACCAATGAATACGTTTTTTCCAGCATGTGAAATTAATTCAGACATTATTGATATTACTGGTTATTCTACTTTAACAAAGCAAAATTTATCTCCCCAGATCCGAGCAAACAACGCAAAGTACATCAACAGCAGTGACCAGCACAGCTCAACAGACAATACCTCAAACAGTTCAGCTCCCCGGTGCCCCGGAGGGTCTCACAGTGGTCGCCCAAATCCCTCAGGATCTAATTCTGCGCGAGGGAATGGAGGACTCAAAGGAGGACATAAAGGAAGGCACAACCCCGGTGGCCCTGATAAAGCGAGGAAGCGTGAAGAACCAGGCGAATCAAAGTGGCGAGGAGTTCATAACCTCGATGCCAGCAACCTGGCAGAGTCTGGCAGCCCCAGGCTCCACAGTGGCCGACTACCTAGCCCGAATTCCCGCCAACACACTTCCCCTCTCCCTCCACCACTTCCTGAAATTCTCAGCGGAAACAATAAAACGTGAATCAACGATAGAGTCCAGCCCCCTGGGGGCTGACGGTATAGACGCCTCTGGTAGTACAGCATCGGGTGATCAGACAGTTCAGATAACAGTTGGCAGTGGTGAAACCGAGATTATTCCAGACGTCACTGAGGAGCACGAGCCTGGAACAAAGCCCAAGAGGAAAAAGAAGTACAAGAAGAAGCCCCCGAAGCCCAAGAAGCCAAAGCCAGGTCAGGTGTCGATAGTGACAGCCCTCGATGGGACAACTCTCTTCTGCTGTCCCCAGTGCAACATGGCGTATCCTGAGAAGGAGCTGCTGGAGCAGCACCTCATTGGCCACAAGATTGAGCGCCGATTTATCTGCGACATTTGTGGCGCTGGATTGAAGCGGAAGGAGCACTTGGAGAGACACAAGTTGGGGCACAATCCAGACAGGCCGTTCATATGCTCAGTCTGCATGAAGGGTTTCAAGAGAAAAGAGCATCTGAATCTGCACTTTGTCATTCACTCGGGACAGAAGACAGAGGTGTGCACAGAGTGTGGTAAAGCCTTCTATCGTAAGGATCATCTGCGAAAGCATGCGAGATCACATCTGGCAAAGCGCGCCAAGGAGGATCCACTGGGGTCTGTTGACTCGCAGAATCAGGGACAGCAGACCGACTCTCAGGGACAGGGACAGACTGGCGAGATGCAGAATTCGGTTTCTGAGCTCCAGCAGATTCAGATACAAGTGGGACAGGGCTCGCAGGCGCAGATACATCAGATTGCAGTTACCGAACAGTCAACAGTTGTACTTCCAACAGCCGCTGAAACTGGTGCAATGGCTATGCTTCATCAACAACAACAACAACAACAACAACAACAACATTAGCGGCAATCGACCGTTCCAGGTACAGCTGGACGGTACTTTCGGTTTAATCGTCAACGGGCCAAGGGGAGAGCTGCGTAGGTCTATTGTTACATCGATATTGACTTGGAACGCGGGCATGTGTGCGGGGAGAGAGAGGATGGGTGGGCCTATTTCATATTTCTGGAAATATGGGGGCAGTCAGGATGGACAACGTCTTGAATTCGTTTCAAAATTAGCTTTAATTGTTCTACTGGCTGGAAAACATTCAGATTTTTTTTATTCATCCGTTATTTTTTTTATTATTGAATTTGATTAGTGGCAATTCGTTTTTGAGGAGCACATTTTTTTATTCATTGTGGGAGTTGGATTTTGAATTGTAAAGTGACTAATGCTTGGGGACAATCGTCGTCTGGGAGTAATTGATATTAATTTGTTGGTGAATTTATATGGCTATTGTAGGATCCATTCTTTAGTTATGTGATGGATAATTTTTGGGAATTAACAAAATGGACTTTTCTTAATCATTAATTCATAAAAAATAAACGGATTGGTCAAAAATGATGTAAAAATGATTTTAACATATGTAATAAATACAATTTTTCCTGATTCCACTCAATAAAAAATACATCTAATTTTTTTTATTAATCCGTTAATTGTTTATGAATTTGTGGGAATCTTTCTAAAATTAAAAAATTGGCTTCTATCAATTGAAATGTCATTAAAAAAATTACGGAGTCAGTAAAAAAATTTCAAATGAATTCAAGATGCTTTTATTTGGAAAAAAATGTGTTCCATATGTTTCGTATATAAACTGGGCCCATTCCATACATTTAAAGTATATTCTCTCACGTGGATTTGCATCTCTTCCCAATCAATAAATGTTTAAAAAGAACAAATGATGATATCAATGAGTTTTGGAGGAAGTTGTGGTGATTGTTACATTTGGGCTTATCGACAGGCGTTTCCGTGAGATGCCTCACCTTATTGGGCCCCTTTTCACACAGTGTTTGGGTATTCTTACGATTTTTTTCATTTCTATTTTCATCGTTAGACGTCAATGATTTATTTCTTTAGCACGCACGCGTTCTAGTGTGCGTTTAACAGACTGACGAGTGCACTTTCGCCGAAATGAGACAGTTCTGGAGATTTTGGTTAGTGTTTTTTTGATTGTGAGCATTCTGAGTCATCCCAGAGGTTTTTTAAACCCTCGACAAATTTCAATGAATTTTTACTTGGGATGAGGGACTGGGATGACGGGGAATCCTCCGTATCCAGAGTATTTATTCGAGATCTTGATCTTTATGAAGGGATGCATGGACTTGAATTCACATGCATGTGCACAATGACAACATTTAATTTGGAGTTGATCGTGTAAATAGAGTTACAATTGTAATAATTTTGCTTGATTTAAACAATTGTTTATATGATTGTTCGTTGAAAGAACCCATGGAGTTATATATTTTTGGAGAAGACACACACGAATAAATTTTATAGAAAACCCAGTGAAGTTGATAGACAATTCTATTGGATTTCTGATTCTATTGAAAGATTCTGCGGCTTTATTCTGCGTTTTTTTCGAAACGATTTTAATCAAGAAACTATTTTCTACAGAAACTCCTCGACATGAATTTTCGAAATTTTTTCACTTGATTTTTTTTCAGTTCATTAAAGAGAATTTAAATAAAAAAAATTTGAGTCGAGAAATTTCAATGAAAATAGAATTTTCGGTAGAATATTTTACACTGGACATTTCTGATAAAAAAATATGCAGAGAATCCGCAAAAAATCAACAGGAATAAAATAAATATTAACGAATCACTGACATTTCTATAATTTCCAGTTGCCTCGTAATTAAGTGTTACAATTTATTAATCATCTCCAATCATAAACGCAGTGTTCATAAAAAATGAGGGCAAAATTGTTCTTCTGCTTCCATACAAGCCTTTACAACTAATGTTAATTGAAAACAATTAAAATTATGCCTCCCTACCACTAATTAAGCTTACGATAATTGACGGAGTAACGAGACAATGATTTCTGTTAAAGAAAATTATGACGTTTAAAAACGACTGAAGTTCCTCGTACGGCGAAAGTGCACGTGTCCCATAATTTTGAAATTGCCCGACGATACCACAAGAAATAACCTCATGTTACAAGAAAACGCTGCGCGAAGCAAACAGATTAAGATTGTATTTATGCATCATAGAAAACTGATTTAAAAAAATCCATCTATCTTTCTTTTTCTTTTTTATTTAAAAAATAGAGAAAAAAACTAAAACAGTTTAAGGCAGTGGGTATAGCTGTACGAAATAAAATTTAAACAATACAATGAAACAAAAAATTATAGTTATTTTATTAATATTATTATTATTATTATTACACATAGGTATTATTGTAGGTCCTACGAAAATTCGTCTGTAAGTGATTTTCATTGTTACTTATATAAATATTGGAAAAGAAACAAAAAAAATACTAAAAATAAAGCGTAAATTTAATATAAAAAAACGTGATATTTATTAATTTTTTTTTTTATTTTTTTTATTAATGGATGGCATTATTTGGAGTGGATTATTCGCACAACAGAAGAAGTTTACGGAAATAATAGAGAAATTGAATAGAAGAACCCAGAAAATCCGCTATAAAATTCTATTCAATTTTTATTGATAATTTTCTCGTTTTTTACTGATTCTATTGAAAACATTTCAATAGAAAAAGTTCAAAAGGGTTTGATCTTTCTATAAAACTTATTCCGTTGATATATTTTCTGTAGAAATTCTTCAGCATGAATTTTTTGAGTTTTTTCCACACATTAAAAAAATCGAACAAAAAATTGAGAAATTTAAAGACAGGAATTTCTATAGAAACATTTCAATGGAATAAGTTGCGCAGAAAATAAAATTCTACTGATTTTTTCTACAAAACATTCTCTATTGAATATTTCTATTGAAAAAAGCGATGAAGAGCTGAGAAATTTCTCAGTAGAATTGACGAAAGACTAAGATTTTTTTTTATAGAAAGGCGATAAAAATTTAATAGAATTTCCTAGCTGTTAATAAAAGAAAATTCCTAGCTAATGCTCTATGTTTGTCTATGAATTTTTTATTGTAACATTCGTTACCAATTGTTAAATATACGGCTCATTAATTCCCCTTAAAAAAATGTGGAATTAATCAGAATATTTCGATAGAATGAAATATTTTCTATTGAATATTATTTCTTCTCTATCAATTCTTTTTTCGTAACAGATGCAAATAGAGAATCTAATCATTCAACTGACGAAAAAATTTTGAATGCAGGGCTCATTCACTTCCCTTAAAAAAAAAGTGAAATCAATCATTCAAAAAATGAAAAACATTTCAACAGAATATTTTTAATACTTAATAAATTCTATTGAAAAAACGCTGAACATCTATGAAATCTCCAATAAAATCCTCAAAAAACTAATCCATTTTTCTACCGAAGCCCAACGAAAATTCAATAGTCATGTCGCAACAGACAAACCAATCATGCAATTCATCAAAATTTCCAGTGCCCCGCTCCCCCGCCCTCGATGTCTCCCCAAAAAAACCGTGAAATTAATAATTCCTGTGCCCAAAATTTTATTGTATTCCGTCTTGAGCGGACTGCGAAAACCAGTTTGGTCACAAGCAAACTCGCCTCGGAGTTAAAAGGTTGGCCCTCTCTCCCTCCCCCTGTTTCTAGTCACCCCACCTCTCCGATTCGGGTATTTTCGCCATTTCCAAGAGGGGAGAGAGACGCCGAGAGAGGAGATGAGGAGAGAGTGAGAACGACTCGCGAATCCGCCGGCGGGGGCGAATGGGGGGGAAATACAAGAGGGAGGAGGTGAATTCACTGCTACGAGGGGGGCTGATAGGTGGGTGGAGGTGGGGTGAGGGTTGTCGGGAGGGCTTGGGGGAGGGAGGGGGGTTGCGTCGCGGGGGCCCACAGAGAGAAGTACCAAGAGAAAAAATAGTTAAGAGGCTGGCACAGTAGAGGGCGGACAGTGGGGTGGGGACAGGCTACTCGTAGACAGGTGTCAACGGCACGGGGGGGTTTACATGTATATACCATCCATGTACATATTCACATGTACACACAAATCACGGTAATAAAGAGAGAGGAAGTGTTAAAAAATCTCGATTTTTTGTTTCTCTCTCCTAAAACATCAATGATACATGAGTGAATTCGGTGGTTGCATGGTAAACGCCAGTGATATTGCAGAATTTCTTCGGCAACGAGTTGGAGACAACGCAGATCGCATGAATGGTAAGGCCTTTCCTTCACCCCCCAGGGGGCTTTTTGGAGGTGAAAAAAAATTGTGTCTGCGGTAGACACACGTGTAGACATTCGTGGTGGAGTCGCCGGTTGGATTTTTCATTCTGCATTTCTATTCGTTAATACTCGATGATGAGTGACGAGTCGAATTCGACTCTTTCGAATTCGCCAATTTTCCTCGTTCACTCCGTTGGACCCTCCGAGTACAACCCCCCAGCCCTCCTTCCCGCCCCCCGCCACCCCCTTGCGTAGCGCCGACGATTTTGCGAATTTTTTTTCCATTCCTCTTCCGTATTTTTTATCTCCGCCTTTTCGCGTCGGATGGNCCAAAAAAACCGTGAAATTAATAATTCCTGTGCCCAAAATTTTATTGTATTCCGTCTTGAGCGGACTGCGAAAACCAGTTTGGTCACAAGCAAACTCGCCTCGGAGTTAAAAGGTTGGCCCTCTCTCCCTCCCCCTGTTTCTAGTCACCCCACCTCTCCGATTCGGGTATTTTCGCCATTTCCAAGAGGGGAGAGAGACGCCGAGAGAGGAGATGAGGAGAGAGTGAGAACGACTCGCGAATCCGCCGGCGGGGGCGAATGGGGGGGAAATACAAGAGGGAGGAGGTGAATTCACTGCTACGAGGGGGGCTGATAGGTGGGTGGAGGTGGGGTGAGGGTTGTCGGGAGGGCTTGGGGGGAGGGAGGGGGGTTGCGTCGCGGGGGCCCACAGAGAGAAGTACCAAGAGAAAAAATAGTTAAGAGGCTGGCACAGTAGAGGGCGGACAGTGGGGTGGGGACAGGCTACTCGTAGACAGGTGTCAACGGCACGGGGGGGTTTACATGTATATACCATCCATGTACATATTCACATGTACACACAAATCACGGTAATAAAGAGAGAGGAAGTGTTAAAAAATCTCGATTTTTTGTTTCTCTCTCCTAAAACATCAATGATACATGAGTGAATTCGGTGGTTGCATGGTAAACGCCAGTGATATTGCAGAATTTCTTCGGCAACGAGTTGGAGACAACGCAGATCGCATGAATGGTAAGGCCTTTCCTTCACCCCCCAGGGGGCTTTTTGGAGGTGAAAAAAAATTGTGTCTGCGGTAGACACACGTGTAGACATTCGTGGTGGAGTCGCCGGTTGGATTTTTCATTCTGCATTTCTATTCGTTAATACTCGATGATGAGTGACGAGTCGAATTCGACTCTTTCGAATTCGCCAATTTTCCTCGTTCACTCCGTTGGACCCTCCGAGTACAACCCCCCAGCCCTCCTTCCCGCCCCCCGCCACCCCCTTGCGTAGCGCCGACGATTTTGCGAATTTTTTTTCCATTCCTCTTCCGTATTTTTTATCTCCGCCTTTTCGCGTCGGATGGGCAATGCCGGCGTTAACCCCTCAGCCCATCCCTCGACCTCGGCGTCGGTTTTCCCTCCCTTCTTTATACCACCCCCCTCCCCCACCCCCAGACCTCCTACACCCCTTTTTCCCTCGGCATGGGTCGTGACCAACCCCCGTGCCACGGTACCCGACGCCGACGCCGATACTAATACACATATGAATGTGTATAACGGGGGAATATTCTATCCCTTGACGCCCGACGCCGACATTTACCGAATATCACTTGTACATTAAATTTTTTAATTCATCGTAATTTCATCGTTAATTGATGATCGAATGTATGTTGTGTCGTTGGTGGGGTTGAGGTTTGGGGGTATAATGGGATCATTGATCGTGAGAAAAAAATAATTCGCGTTGTTCGTCGGTGGGGGGCTGGGGGGGAGGGGGTGGGAGTGAGTTAAAACGCCGTGTGCCGCGGGGGGATTATTGACGGCGCGTGTGAGAGAGGAGAGACATAGAACGGGAAACTAGACTGCCATTGTGACATTACGGGGTTGGAAGGAAAAAAGGAGAGTGAGGTGACCGCGTGTTGTGGAAGAGGAGTAAAAAATTGTTGGTTTTATTGTTGTTTTGGATAAATTTTTTGGTCGAATTGTTGGATTTTCGCGCGGGGGATGGAGTGAGAGTTTTGGCTGGTAATGGTTAGCGGGGGGTGGAAGGGAGTATCACTGCACTGACGTGAAAACATGGGGAGTAGAATGTTAATGTGAGTAGATGGACAATTGGGGTTGTTTATGCATTGGGTAAAACAGGGGGATTTGGCTGGGGGTTGAGGGGTGAGAATTGTGATTTTGGGTTTGGTTTTAGATCTTGGACTGAGAAATTGCAATGAATTTCCCACCGTTTGGCAGCCACTTTCCTGGTACCATCCCTAGCATACATCAGTTTGCCACGGACGGTTCCAGTGGGGCAACATCACGATACAATCATTTTCCCAACCAGCCTCCGATTGGAGTGCCGGTTGTCGGAAAATACCGTCCTGAGGTTAATGGTACGCAGACGAGCCAGAGTCAGGGGATGATGAACAATAAGAGCGGGTATCCGAATAGTAATTTACATCATTATACTAATGCACCGTACTCGCAAGCACAGCCCATTCAGCAGAGGCCTGCCAATTCACCTGGGATGCAGGAGAAACGGGCTTATCATCAGGTGAGTTTGTCGGGGCTCTGGGGGTTTTTGGGGACTGAGGGGTTGGGTTGGTGGAAATTGGTACATTTTGGGATTTTTTTTGGACAATTTAGGGGAACATTGGGCAGGATGTGTCTCATTTATTCGGTGGGGATTTTTGGGAATTTAGGTGATTGCATTCATGTGAATTTATATGGATTGAGTATTCAAGAAATTAAGCGATAACAACATATACATAACTTTACGTAAATTTTGTAAAAATTTCAAGAGTCATTTTCCTGTGTCATCGAGATTTCAGTTCGGGTAAAAATTGAGTTTTCAATTTTTTTTCTGATTTTTTTGGGGTTTTTTAAAACTTAATTTAGGGAGAAATTTTTCAAGAGGTTTCTCATTCATTCGTTGGACATTTGATTATATTCAGGTGATTGCATTCGATTGAATTTTTAATGGATTGAGTATTCAAGAAATAGAGTGATAACAAAATATATATAACTTCATGTAAATTTGGTAAAAATTTCAAGAGTTTGGTTTTTCAATTGTATCCTGGGGAATTTTTGTTTGAGTAAAAATTGAGTTTTTATTTTTTTTCTGCAAGTATAATAATTTACTTGGAATGCAGGAGAAACGAGATAACCATCAGCTGAATTATTCAGAGTTTCAGATTTTTTAGCTGTTCAGGTAATTTTCTGGGATTTACATTATTGCTGGTATAGAATACGAAATTTTAGGAATTTCAATTCAATTTAGGATGATTTAGAATTAAATTTAGGCATTTATTGAAAATGCAATTCAATTGAGGTAAATTTCATTCAAGTGAATTTTCAATGGATTGAGGATTTGGAGAAATTGTTGCCTGAATTTTCATAGTTCGGAATTTCATTGAGTATTCAATAACAAAATACACGGAAATGTCAAGAATGCCTTTTTAATAGTGTCTTGGAGATTTTTTTGTTTTGTCTTTTCCAAAATATTTTATTGTTCCATTATAAATTTCTAAAGACGAATCATAGGCTACTTCCATGAATTATTTGTCTCATCTATTGAATTTCGTAAAAAAAAAACAATTTCTTTCATTGAGAGGTTTTCCATAATAATTTCTCGCCATGAATTCTCCATTTTTCACTCGATTTTTCATTTCTTCTCATAAAAAAATATGAATAAAATCTAAAAAATGTTGGAATGTTAAACCCCAAGAATTTCTCTAGAAACCTCCATAGAGCAGAAATCAACCTCATGAAAAATGATCCCAACAGTCTAAAACCTCCTCACGTTATCAATAACAAACTGCAATTACGAACAGGACGTATGCAACCTCCTGCAGGAAAAAGACAAGAGTAAAGAGAAGAAGACGGAGGACCAGAGGAACGGGGACTCGTCAGGCACGACAAACGGTAGTCAGCAAGACTACTCGATCCACCAGCACCACCAGCAGCACGCACACACCCAAACGCCAGCATCGATGCCAGCCACCTGGCAATCCCTGGCGACTCCAGGCTCGACAGTGGCTGACTATCTGTCCCACCTGCCAGCCAGTACTCTTCCACTGAGTCTCCACCACTTCCTGAAGTACTCAGCCGAGAGTATAAAGAAAGAGAGTGAAATGCAGGCGCAAACTACCTCGGTAGCAGTTGCTACAACGACAACACCAAACATTATGATGTCGCCAAATAATAAGAAGAAGAAAAAAAAGAAGGCGCCCAAAGAGAAAAAGCCACGTCCAAAACCAGGTGAAATTAGACTGACAACAGCACTGGATGGCTCGACCCTCTACTGCTGTCCTGAGTGTCACATGGCATATCCTGAGCGTGAACTACTCGAGCAGCACCTCCTGGGGCACACCCTCGAGCGCAGATTTGTCTGCGACATTTGCGGTGCTGGACTCAAACGCAAGGATCACTTGACCCGCCACAAGCAGAGCCACAATCCAGAGAGGCCGTATGTGTGTACAGTTTGTTTGAAGGCGTTCAAGAGAAAGGAGCAATTGACATTGCACTTTGTTATTCATTCGGGGGAGAAGAGACACGTCTGCACTGAGTGTGGAAAGGGCTTCTATCGCAAGGATCATCTGAGGAAACACACCAGGAGTCACATTGCTAGGAGGGTTAAAGCTGAACTCAGTCAGAATGCTGGTGAGCAATGGGATTTTTTAACTATTTGGGAGTTCAATGGCGTGAGAATACGGTGGAAAAAGACGGAGGGGATGAGCTACGATTTATTTGTTATTTGTTATTTGTTATTCATTTATAATGAATAATGAATACGGCGTAAATCATCGACTATGAATTTTACCGATTTTTTTTACACAGACACGGATGGAACAATTTAATAGAAAAACTTAGGCTAAAGAATTCGATTTTTCTATACAACTTACATTATTCTATTGAGATATTTTCAATAGATTTTCCTAAGCTCAAATTTTTTTACGTTTTTTCGTTTGATTTTCTTGATGAGACGAAGACAAAAATAGAATGAAAAACAGATAGAAAATTTGAGCCGAAGAAATTCTGTATAAAATTTCTGAAGAGAACTTCTATAGAGTATTTTCTAACATTTCAATAGAATCGGCCAAAAACTAATAGAATTGTTTAGCGAATTTGCTAGGTTTTTCTATTAAATTTTTTCCTACGCAAAATTGGAAGGAAAATTGACATGAAGAAGTTGGTGAAATTTCAACTTGAGCACTTCATTTTGTGTTGCATGAAAATTGTGGTGCGACGGTTTCTTTTAAAAGCTTCTTTTAAAAGCAGTTTCTAAGATGAATTCACAATCAGAAAAATTGTAGAATTTTAGTGATTATGAACATGAAATTAGCTTGTTAAAGAGTCATTATATATAAAAATGTGAAAATACATTATTTTTTCACAATTTTCCCAGTGACAAAAAAATTATCTTGCTGTGTTCTCCTAAAATTAGAATTTGATGCATTTTCCAGCAAAAATATAATATTTCAAGTTGAATATACTATTTTGTGTTGCATAAAAATTATTGTGTGAAGTTTCCTTAAATACACAATCAACAGAATTGTATAACTTTAAAATCATGAACATGGAGTTATCTCAATGAGGACTCATCATAAATGAAAATGTCGAAACGCTTATTTTTCACAATTTTCTCTGTAAAAAAAAACTCATGCAGTTTTCCCCACAAATCATTAGATTTTGATGCATTTTTTTAAATTAAAAATATAAATATTTCAACTTGGGTTCATGAATTTGTGTTCCATTGAAGGAGGACAACAGAATCAACAACAGAATAACGTATCCAGCATGCAGACGACAACGGTATCAGCCTCGTCTGTTCTCCCTGGTGGGCATCCGGGTCCCCTCCTGTCCTGAGTGCCAGCGCCAGGGAACTTTCAAGTTCCCCATCCGAACAACGTCATTCATTCCCACTCACCGAGTCACCATCCACTCCATCACCATCATCATCTGGCTGCGGTCAATGCTGCTGCACATCAGGCGGTCGTTGGTACAACTCACTATCAGGGGCATGAGCTCGGTTTCCTCAATCATGTCAAAGATTTCTGAGGGTCACTGCTGGCTTCACTCTCCGCTGTCTTCGATTCTTGACGTAAGATTTAGGGAATCACTCTTATTTTATTTGTCCGAGTTGCGAGGGTCTGGTTTTTCTTCGTTCATTCATTTTTCGAAAAGCATTTCAGGGAATCGCAGGTCGAGAACACCTTGATTTTCAATCATTCTCAGTAATTGTTTGAGGTTTCTTTTTGAGGATTGCCGAGGGAAATGGTTGTGGGGTTAAAAGGTTCTTGTGGAATTATATTTTTGTTTTTTAATTGATTTTTCACTTGTTAAAATGAAAATGAAAAATATTAAATGTCGAGAAAAATCTGGGGTAAATCATGGACATATTTAGAACTATTTGTTTGTTTCTGAAGATTTCTGTGGAAAATTATGCAACTTTGTCATGAGATTTTGCAATAGAATTTTATAGCAAAAGCATAGATTTCGATTTGTGCACGTAAATTATTCTTTTGAGATTTATTCTGGAGATATTCTGGTAGAACTTCAATAGAATTTTTATGGAATTGAATTAAATGGAGTTTAATTAAGTTTAATTAAAATATATGGAGTTTAATTAAAAAGACTAGAGATTTTTCAGAGAAATTCTATTAGAAAGCTATCTATTAAAAAGAAGTCAATAGATTCTGATTTTTCTATATGAATTATTCTCTTGCAGAATTTCCGTAGAATTTTGATGGAATTCCAGTAGAAATTCAAAACATTCAGACGTATGAAAAATTTAAGTAAAAAACCTAGTGCTTTGTCCGAAAAATTCTATTGAAGTTCTATTTAAAAAAATCTATTTGTTTTTCTTGACGATTTTTATTAAAAAATTGCACGTTTGCCATACGATTTTTCAATAAATATTTGATAGAACACGTCAGTAGATTTTTTCAATATGAATTACCCTCTTCAGATCTTTTCCACAGAAAATTGTAATAAACTTCAATAAAATTGCAATAGACATTCAATGAGGTTTTCTGTCCATTCGTGCGACGTAAAAAAATATAACTCATAAAAACCTACTCAATGACAGTGACTATTTCCCTCGGTCATCCAAAAATAATTTTTTCCTTCCAAAGAAGAGTAAAAGTAAAGCTCACAAATGATAAAATGGTGAAAGAGAATGGAATTAAATGCCTGTTGCAAGAGTCTTGCCATAAATGTCACGTAAAGAACAGATAAATAATATTTTTATGATAGTTCAGTAATAGATCATCGCAAAACAATTTTATTTTTTAGTTTCACGTGAAGTATAAGATAAACCGAAGGTGAATTGAGCGAATAAGTTGCAATATCTGAATGAAATTCGTCAGTCATTCCTCTTTTTTTTTTCATGTGTATTATCCATAGCAGTATTTTTTAGTAATGACAGAGTAGTTTCGAACAAATTACACTTCTGGCGGCTTTTATACATATATACATAAAAATATAAATAAATAAATATTATATAAATACTCATATTGGTATATATTTGTATTGCGCTTGATTACGAATGTTGATTCGTGAATTTTTCATTTCATATCGCAAATATCGTGTAGCAAAATTCTAGAAAATTTTAATGATGTTTTTCGTTACAATTTTGTTTTACTTTCGCTTTATTTTCTTATGATACGACTTTATTTTTTTAAGTAGATCTCTTTACTGAATGTTGATCACTTTTATTTTTTTCCATTATTAGATGTATTAATTTTAATGGACAAATCCAGTTTTTAACAAGTGTTTCACATTTATTCGTACAAACGGTTCTTTATGATCTTTGGAATTTGATAGCAATGCGTGTGACAAAATTTAATAGAAAAACCTAGAGCTTTCTCTGCGAAATTATGTTGAAAATTGTGCAATTTTTTAATAGATGTTTCGATAGAAAAAAGTCACTAGATTGTTTGGAAATAAATTCTCCACGTTTTCTTCGCTGTATTTTTATTTGTTTCGCAGAGTGAAATTCAAGAGACAAAACTTGAAGAATTCATGTTCGTGAATTCTTACTAAAAAACAGAATAAAGTACATAGAAAAGTCTACATTTATAGCCTTTTCTCTGTAAGAAAAATATCTATTGAAAGAACAAATACAATTTTTCAATAGAATTCTAGTTGAGCTTCAATAGAATTTCTTACAGAAAGTGCCAGATTTTTCTGTAAAATTCTTGAGAAATGTTTTGATATTTTTTGTGTTATACATTTATTCGTAAGAATAATTCTTTATGATCTTTGGCATTTGATATCAATACGTGTAAAAAATTTATATAAAAACCTAGAGCTTTCTCTAATAAATTCTGTTGGAGATTATGAAACTTTCTTTGATAGATATTTTGATAGAAAAAAGTTGAGAGATTTTTTGGGAATGAATTCTCTAGGTTTTTTTCTCCGTATAAAATGCTAAGAGAAAAAAAATTTGGAAAATTCATGCTCAAGAATTTTTCTTGTAAAAAAAAGCAGACGTAATTTAAAAAAAACAAATAGAATTTTTCAATAGAATTCCTCAGAGAAAGACCTAGATTGTCACATTAAATTTTCGAAAGACGTTTTGATATCATTTTCCTTTCAACTCATCCACGTCTGGTTGTGATCGTCCCTCATTTCAATATAATTTGCATTCGATAGTCCATAATTGAGCATAAAAAGCTGAAAATATTGTGCCATCGCTCATTATACTTTCTCCACGTATGATTTTCCAATTATAACCGGATCAGCTATTTCAAATAGCAGAATATGAAGCTATGTATTCGTAGTATATATAAAAAAATAGCTGAAATGGCTGTTCAAGGAGAGATAAATTTGTCTTAGACTTATTTAAGATGAGAATTAATATTAATTTCACATCTGGGCTCTCTCGCATTGAAACCAGAGAGATAACAAAAAAAATCAATGGCAATTCAGGTTTTCGTCAGACCTCAAATATAAATGAAAAAAGTATAAGTCAGATTGTACTGTGAAGCACGTAATAATACTAAAGGGGAAGTAAGCATACATAATGTAAAGTTTATAAATAATAAGGGGATGAGTAATCTTAGGGGGGAAGTAATCAATCGCCATCGTACACTAGCAATAAGGTGACTAAGTTTGTATACAAGATTTAAAGGAAATGAAAAATGTTAGCTTTTACTCAAGAAATGATGGAGCATAAGTAATGATTTAAAATAATAAGCCATGAAAGTGAAGAGCGAATGGTGAATGAGCATAAATTAAGTCGATTAGCTTTACGAGTGAATAAAATTTCGAATAAAACATTCAGAGCCGAAGGAAAGAGGAAAGTCCAATTTTTATATTGATTTTTGAAATTTGAAGAATTTCGTATTTTCTACTCGATTTCGTTATCCCTCAGTTCGATTGAGAAAAAATGTGAATTATCGGATATTTTTGGTATTTTTCAAGTAGATATCGTGCTTATTCCATTAGTCTTTCAAAATTAAAATATTCCTCACGATGTTTGATGAGTAAATGCGAATTAAATTGCCACTGATGAGTCATTGGCGCGTGAAACGTACTCTAATTATTTTATAGAAAAAAATTGTATTGAATTTTTCAAAAGGAATTACAGCGGCAATATCTCCTTACATCACTTCGATTCTAGTGGGAGGAATAAAAATTGGGCTAGTGTTGTTTAGATACCCTGATGCAACCAAGTTCATTATCCTGAATAAAAACTCGGAGCTGACGAACGGAGAGAGATATTTTTCTACGCATTGTCAAGAGAGGAAAATAAAGTAATGGAAACACCGTTTAAATTGTCTGAATTATCGAAAAAAAACATGGTTTTTTCTCTAATTTACGTATGAAAAAAAAATTTAATAGGAAAATCTGGCGCATTTGCCAGGAAATTCTACTGAAATTTCATTGAAAATCATCCCTATCTTTTTCAATCGGGGTTTTGCGTGATTTTTTTTTACTGCTGGATATAGAAAACATTAAACAGGTATTTTTTCATTTCAATTGAAATTTCTCATCAACTATTTAATTCAATAGACAGAGTTTAGTAACAACGATTCTAATTCTAAATAGAAAATATTCGATGGGAAAAGATTAACAAACTTTTATTTTTCTGTTGCACATTTCCAGTTGAACATCAACAAAATAGTGCAGTATTTTACAAGAGAATTATAAAAATATGAAGGGAATGACCAATGGAAATTCAATAGAAATTCTCAGTAAATTCACCAAAGCCCAATTTTCCTTCCAATTAAAAAAAAATGGGTATGAAATAGAAGAGTGTGTGCCCTCCAGCCGTCGCATAAAAAGATCCCCAAGGACACGAAATAATTACCCCTAGCATAGTTATAATTTAAATAAAGAGGAACGTGTGGACGTGAATTTTCGCCTAAATAAACCCAAAAATTTATCCAGAAATCAGCCAGGGCGAGGGAAGTAAACGAGAACTAATAAAATAATAATAAATGGTAAATAATAAAATACGATTCCTCGACATAGTACAAAGCATAAAACAAAGGAAAAAAAATAATGATCTTTCCCAATAGTGTTATTAAAATGAAAGAGAAACAATTAGAAACCAGCCTATGAGAAAATAAAGGAAAAAAAATGACGGGAGTCTTGCCTTGTATTTTTTATTTCGTTAGAACTAGAATGATCTCGAATTCTCCGTTATTTTTCATTACATTAACCACTAAAATAACGTGCATCATCAAAATAAATTTCAATGATTTATCGTACGAAACCTCTAATTCACTCAAATCAAAAGAAAAAAAAAAGTGTAATATAGAGCCACATGTCTAAGGACCCTAGTGTTTTATTTTTATATAGAGAGCACGTGGAGAGCATCAAAATTCCAGTGAAAAATCTTCGATAAAACGAGAGACGATGAAAAAAGTTGGCAAGAACGATTTAAAATTAATAATTTTTTTCATTGCTGCTATATGTAATAATCCATACATGGTATATTCGTATGTATTCACGTACATACTTATATATATTATATTATATATAAAAAGAGATTGTAATAAAGTAAGTTTCATAATCATTTCTTTTACCTGTCCCACCCTGCAATCAACGAGGTAAAATTGAAAGAAATTTTCCTCATTTTTACACAATAATACTTTATTGATTCGAAATATGTTACAATGAATAACAAACTTCTTCATAATTCAATCTAAATAAAAAAAAACGTACATTAACACTTCTCCCTCGTCGTGCAGATAATAATAAGCAATAAAAAAACTGATTCGATATTCTTAACCAATAACAATAAATCGAAAAGTTGAAACATTAAATTAACATTAAATTAGGCTGCAACATCGGTATAATTAGATATCTTACGTTCTATTTACGCACGTGATGTCATCGTTAGTAGTCGATTTCATTTGTTTTAATCTATTAAAAAAATTCTTACTATTGTTATTACTTTTATAAAATCTGGAGTTGATATTATTCGCTCATCATCCTCCTTCATGATTGATTCATGCTTTTCTGTAGGATAAATACAGAACGATAATTCTTGAATAAAAATAAACGATGAAAGAACAAGATTAAATTGAAAAGTCACAGGTAAATACGATAGAAAACAAAAGTTCAAGGCGAATGACAATTCAATCGAGGAATTAATTATTGAAGTTAACACAACGGTTTGTTCATAAGTTCCTTCGAAGAATTTTCAATAATTGTCAAACTACAATTCCAGTGAAAGACGCGTTCTTAATTCACCAATATCTCCCGATCGAACGACGCGATTTCAATGAATCAAAATTCATTTTGATGCCGGAGAAAATATCTTCACAATGAAAAAAAAAAACTCGTGGAATTTCACTCTGGCGATCTCGAGTTCTCAACGATTGAAAATGGTTCATTTTAGTCATTTTCTCATTTGGAATGAAATTCCTCGTCATTTCATTCTAATCGAGGAATTAATTATTGAAATTAACACAACGATTTGCTCATAAATTCCTTCGAAAAATTTTCAATAATTGTCAAAGACGCCTTCTGAATCCATCAATATCTCTCGATCAAACGATGCGATTTCAATGAATGAAAATTCATTTTGATGCCGGAGAAAATATCTTCAAAATGAAAAAAAAAACTCGTGGAATTTCACTCAGCCGATCTCGAATTATCACCAATTGAAAATGGTTCATTTTAGTCATTTTCTTATTTGGAATGAAATTCCTTGTCATTTCATTCTAATCGATCCTCAGATTGAGTTTTTTTCCCTCGATCATGTCTTTAGGTTCGCAGAATGGAGAACGGAGGTGGTCCCGCCTGCCTCATCATCATGGCGAAATTCCCAAGGCCATCGGTGCTGGAGTTCTGCTGTCCCTCCACTTGACTGTTGACGCTCTGTTGGTGGCTGTCCCCGAGTGGTTTTCCCCTGGTACCGTTGTGACTCTGGAGATGTTTCTTCAAGTGGTCTTTGCGGTAGAACGCCTTCCCGCACTCCGTGCAAATTTGATTCTTGCTGCCGGAGTGGATGATCATGTGTCGAGCGAGGTGTTCGTTCCTCTTGAAGGCCTTGCAACACATCGAGCACTGGTAGGGCCGGTCCTTGTTGTGCCCCTGCTTGTGGCGATCCAGGTGCTCCTTTCGTTTCAGACTCACACCGCATATGTCACAGATGTGCGGACGCTGACGGTGCTCCTCCAGGTGCTCGTGCAGACTCTCTCGGTCTTGGAAACGGTATGCACACTCTGGACAGTGATAGATTAGCATTCCTACATTCAAAGATAAATTTTATTTTGTAGATTTTTTGGAGGGTCGGGGATTTTTGGACTTGCAGTAGAATTTTTCTATTGGAGATGTTGTATTGCGAGAAACGAATTTGGCCTGAATAATTTGCAGAGAATAAAATAATATAATAAAATAAACACTATAAATAAATAAATAAAATAAATTCATCTTGAACGAAGAACTGTTCTCGGACTGTTCTTAATTAATGAATTGTCATCCAAGAAAAATATTTACCATTGATATGTCGAGGTTCAACATCATATTCGACTTTGGTCCTGGCCTGATGACAGCTGTGAGTGCTCTCACTGCTCTCTTCATACTTGGATCCGTAAGGCCCTCCGATATTATTGGAGCACCTCGCCAGGTATTCAGACGTCAGTCTGAAGTCGATCCTCAGTGGATCAGTCATCGTGGCGGCGTCGACCTTCTGGATTGTTTGGGTTCCAGATGAAGTGTGCGAATTACGTCTGTGGGTCTCCTTATTGTCACAATTATTTTCGTTGCGGTTCTCATCGGTCTGCGGTGGGTGCAGAGCGTACGGGTAAGCATTCGGGTCGGCTGAGCGTGGGTGGTGGTGAGTGTGATGGATTTCTGGAGGATACTTGGAGGTTCTGGGCTCGTATGCCATGTCTCTCCAACGAGATGCAGTCGGTTTATGCACTCTTAGGGGATGAAACGTCAATTTCAAGGGCCCCAAACTCACCCAGCGAGTGTTTTTCCCTCAGCATTTGAACGATTTTATTGTGGAGTGTTGGGGGTTTCGGTTCTGTTTACTCCTGGAATTGAATATGGGGAGGAAATTATGTTTTGCGGGCAAACGCATTCGGTTGATGCTGAAAGACACTTTTGGGTGAATCATTCAACGAGATTTGTATTTGTTTTTCGTTTCGACTGTTCGATATTCAAAGTGAATTTTTCAAGTTTTCTCATTTTTTTTTGCTTTCGGGGGGATTATCTTTCGAACGTTATCTCGATTGTTTTTCCATCTTCATAATGTAAAATATATCACAATTTCCATTGGATTTTACATCACGCAGGAGTCCCTAAAAATTATGATTGTACAATAAAAAAAATAGGAAAAAATTGAACATTTTCAAAGGGAGTTTTTAATAAAGATTGAGAAATTAGTCCGATAGAGAGGAAATAGTGAATGGATAATTTATCATGGTAACTAACGATCTGACAGTCTTTGACTACTGTGACAAATGACGACCTAAGAGCCATTAGATACATCAAATTATTAATTTGCAATTCCTTCCCTATTAGCTTTATTTCCTAATATTATTAAAAAACGCTCTTTGAAAATGTTCAGCTTTTTTTCAACGTTTTTTTGATTGTACAATCATATTTTTTGAAGACTCCAGGGCTATGTAAGACTGAATAACAATTGGAGATCATTTCAGATTATCAAAATAAAAAAAAAACAATCAAGATCACGTTCGAAAGATAAACCCGGGCCTTAACGGAACAAAATTCGCTATTTTTTTGTTGTTTTATTGAAAATTTCCCTTAAACTGAATTACGTTTCTCAAAAATCGAGAACACTCAATAATTTTTTGCAGTTTATTTTTCTTCAGGCACCTGAACAAAAATTTTCATCTCGATATCATCTATTGCCATAGACAAACAACATAAAAATGTCCATTTTCGAAGAAAGATCTTTTTTTGGGAATTCATAGATTTTCCAATTCTTTTTTTCATTTTCGAAAAACTTCTCAAAGTGTGAGAAAGAAAAACAGAAATAATGGACCAAAATTCGCATTTTCTCGTTGTTTTAGTGAAAATTTCACTTAAATAAAATTTTTTTTTTTCGAAAATTGAGAGCACTAAATCATTTTTTGAATTTTATTCTATTTTATACAATAAAAAGGAAATTTTTATCCCGATATTATCTATTCGCAAGCAGAAACAGCATCTAAATTTTCATTTTTAAAGAAATACATTTCATTTCTGAAAATTAATGTTTTCCAATTCTTTCTTTCAATTTCGGAAAACTCCTCAAAGTGTGAGAAAAAAAAACAGAATTAATGGAACAAAATTCGCAATTTTTGTCTTGTTTTATTGAAAATTCCCCTTAAACTGAATTATGTTCCTCAAAAATTGATAGCACCGAATCATTTTTTGGTTTTTATTCTTCTCCATACAAAAAAAATCATCTCGATATTATCTACTCGCATGCCTAAACATCATAAAAATTTCCAATTCACGATCCTGTGGCTGTGAAGCCCCCGAGACTCCCCTCGCCCTCCAAACCACGGAGAAAAACCACCCAAAAACCCGGTAAATCCTAATTTGTTTTAGACACCCCAAAAGAAGTCGTAATTGTATTGAGCAGGTCAGGTAAGGTGAGCCATCGACTGCCGAAGTAGCTGAAAATTCTCTCCGATTCACCGGGTAAAGTCCCTCAACACCCGCGAAAACTCGCCTCACCCTCAACTCGTCTCAATTAATCAATAAAAACAAAATCCGAAAAAAAACTTACGATTTGTCCTCCACTGATGCCTCAACTGCGTGTTTATCAGATCGTTTTTCCATAAACTTTATTTGTTTGTACAGTGACAGCCATCTTTGAAAATCAGCTGGTTGGTTAGTGAATGCATCGGTGTTGCCGCTGGTGTCTCCAAAATACGCAAAACCCACCGCAGTCGCTCAAATCGCGGGTCTTGCACCGGTTCCCTCCAATCATGGTGAGTGTTTTGATCTCGCGAATAACATCAACGGTCGAAAATTGAGACTGAGAATGGACAGAACCATTCGCTATGAACGCGAAAACTTCGACGAGTCGTGTTGTGATGATGTGCCCACGTGTAGTCAAGACATAAACATCGGGATTGAACGAAAACGATCCAAAGTTCACGGGAAAAAGTGCCCATCGCCCGATGTTTTGGCGGAACTGCAGGCTTCGGTGAGTTTTGATCTCTTTTTGCATTTGCCAGGGACCGGGGCAAAACGGGGTATTGAGTTTTTGGCAATTGGCGTTTTGACGGATATTTTTCTGAGGGAGGGTGGGGCAAAATGGACGATTGCATTCCTTTAAGGGGAGACTACTATGAGTTTTAAAAGCCGTGGGTTATTGGAGTGAGACTTTTCATACGTTGAAGATCGATTATACAGATCTGAAAACGAATAATTATTGCAAAAAAATTTTTTTTCGTGGTTCGTTTGCCCGAAAACGCTTAAAATGCTAAAAACAGTCCAGGGCCTCCAATTTTTGAGCTGCGAAGGATTTTTTTTTTCAAAATTTTTGGAAAAATATGTGGAATAACAATTACGAGCTATTTTTTTTTTAATTAGCCTCTTACATGGCTAAATTTGCTTTTTTTGTATTTTTTTACACAAATAGTGAATTTTTTTATATGAAAAAAACCGAAATCAGCTATGTAGGAGTCGAATTCCGAAAAACTGGCTCGTAATTGTTGTTCTACAAATTTTTCCGAAAATTTTGAAAAAAAAAATATTTTGTAGCTCAAAAATGGGAGGCCCTGGACTGTTTTTAGCATTTTAAGCGTTTTCGGGCAAACGAACAATAGAAAATTTTTTTTTTCAACGTATGGAAAGTCTTACTCCAATAACCCACGACTTTTAAAACTCATAGTAGTCTCCCCTTAAGTTGGGAGAGCACCTGATAAATAAGCGGAAGGTTCCGGGTTCAAATCTTAGTTTGGACTTTCAAAGTTTTTCAGTAAATTTGTCATGTCAACTAATATTGAAAATTATCCTGGCTCCCTTCATACCTATTCCAAAATCCTATCCAGCAATATCCAGTGATGCCACAAGATGTGGAACGCTATATAAACCTCTGTCTTCTGTGAAGAATCTCTGTAATTCAGGAGAAATAATGGAGATGAAATTTTTTCATTATTTTTCCGGTAATTCTGGGGGAAAATGGTACGGAAACCATAAGTTAAATCGTGACGCCAAAGTAATCGTAATCATTTTTTGTTCCTCAAAAAGGGACTGCTGCACTATATTTTATAGAGATCGAGGGAAAATGGGTTAGTCAGTTTTTATCAATTGGCGTTTTGGGTAATTTTCTTCTGGGCGAAGGTCTTTTGACCTTTTTCATCAATTTTTATCACTGAAGAATAAATTGCCCAGTTGAGCTGTAGGAAAACACTTTTTAATATTTCTCGAGTGGAGACGTAGTCGCAATTGGGCACAGAATCGTTGTCATGTTCAATTGTTAAGATACAAAACTATCTGTTACTTTTGTATTCATCATTTCCTTAAAATATCCAAAAATATCAGGATGATCCTGATGAGATTCAATCGGTACTGGACGAAGTGAGGGCCGGTAGGATAACACAAACAGTGGAATTCATCTTCTCTCTGCGACCGTTCCTCAAAGATCGGGGGAAAATTCTTATCGAGTCCATGGAGAGGGATTTGGCAGATTTTCGAAAATTAGTTGACGAGACTGTGGATTACAGAGTTGGTATCCTTCAGAGCGAACGCTAGGTTCTTCCATTAAACTTTTCATACACAATGAATCACGAAAACGTTGTCCCACTACATTAGAAAAAAATAGATATCCGAAATATCCTCAGGTGCAAGATGAAGGTGATGTCATGCACTTCAGTCAAAACACCATGAACGAAAAATTCCACCATCTGACGATGCACATGAAAGAGAGAACCGCCAGCATACTGGAAAAATTGCACAAAATATCACCGAAGTTCGATTGGAAAAACGACGGGAAGGACATGTCGAAGTTGTCGACACTAATTAGTATTGTACGTTTGCTCACACCTATTGTGTGAGAAAATTCAAAGGAAAACCTAGTGCATTTGCTAAAATTATCTTAATGTTTCTATATCACTTATTCCGTATCTGTTTTTGTTCCTAAAAATGTTTGAGGGTAAATTTTTCTAGTTTTTTTCCGTCGGATTTTGTAAATGCAAATGAAAAAAACATTCAACTCTCAAAATTTTTTCAATTGAAAAAATCTCAAGAGAATAAGTTCTATAAATGAATGAATTTCTTTTTATTTTTGAAATCAAATTTTTAAAAAATGCAATAAAATTCCCTCATTAGATTTCTCTGCTGAATTTCCTCATCACCTGATAAACAACGACAGAAAACAAAATGAATTATTTTTTGCAATCGCTCTCAAACCCAAAATTTCCCTTTCAAGAAAGAGAAAAATACCTCCGAGACAAGTCCAAAAGAGAGTGTCGACTCGACCAAGAATTTAATCCACCAAATATTCATTCGAAATCAATGGTTGAAGCGGGAATTGCACCGGCTGCAGGATGAGAATAACGACCTTAAAATATACTTCAAGAGATCGAAACACCTCGCAGTGGAGAGGAGAGCTGAGCAAATAAAAGTGCCTCGTATGCTCGCAGAACAGCAGGAGGTGCTCGAGAAACGTCTCGAGAAATTGAAGGCAATTTATCACAACAATACTGAAAAAATCCATGCTCTGCACGTGAATTACGAGGCACACATTCATACATAGGAAATTTTTTATATTATAATAAATTCATCAACAAAATTGGGCAGTTATTGCGTCATCAGTACTTATCGTTAATATTATACATTCGTAAGGAATTGATTAATTCCTCCTAATCAGAGGCGAACTATCGTATCTACAGAAATGTTTCATCACGCATGAAAAAATTCAATAGAAAACCTAGCGAATTGGCTAAAAAATTCTATCGGAATTCTATTGAAAAATTCTATTTGTTTTTTGTGCTGATTTATTGTATCTTTGACAGGAAAAATTCAATACATTTTGAATTTCTGTTCGAACGTTTCTCTTGAGATTTTTTTTATTAGAATTATTGGGCACAAATTTTCCAAGTTTTTTCCGTTGGGTTTTGTTTTATTTTGTGTTACAGAATCCGAGTGGAAAAAGTTGGAAAATTGATGCCCAAGCATTCTAATAGAAAAAAACACAGGAGAAAAATTCAAACAGAAATTCGAAATCTATCAACTTTTTTTTTATCAAATATCCAATAGAATCAGCGCAAAAAATAAATAGAATTTTCAAAGAGAATTTCAATAGAAATAGAATATATATATAGAATAGAATTCCAATAGAATTCCAATAGAAATAGAATATAGAGAATCTATAGAATCTCTCTACATTATAAAAATTCAAATGGACTTCTGGTGATGAAAAATTGGTACTCAAAATTCAGACTTCAAAATTAAAGGGCACAAGGGTCAGATTAAGGGTCACGGGGGCCAGATTAAGGGTCATGTGGGTCAGAAGAAGGGTCACAAGGATCAGATTAAGCCTCCAAATGAAGGTCATGGAGTTCAGAATCTAAGGGTCACAAGGGTCAAAATACGGGTCTCTATATCTCTATATTATAAAAATTCAAATTAAGATTCCAAAATTAAGAGTCAGAAATCAAGGGTAAAATTATTGGTGACAAGGGTCACGAGGATCAGATTAAGGTTCACAAGGGTCAGAATAAGGATCATGGGGGCCCCCTAGTTCCAATAGAATTTTCTAGCGAAATCGCTAGGTTTTCTACTGAATTTTTTCATACGTGATAGATCAGAGTGTTCTTATGAGTATTTTTTTCATAAATTTTTTGTTGCACTCGAGCCTCCGATCTCACTCCCGTGGTGACTGGACGCCTTCGATTTACGCTCGGGATCCATGCAAATCGATATAAACTCCTCGGATATTTTTTTGTCCAGTCCGGTGTAGGTGCGCGCCAAATCACCAACGTTTTCATCCTCGTCGATCGAAGTCATCGGCTTTGTCGACTGATTTTTTGCGTCGCGAGTGCGTCGCTGATCCATTGATGATTCCTCGTGCTCTAGAGGTGGATAGCGAGTTCTTCGCGAACGATACTAGAAAATTGGATAATGAGCATAATGAGTTAGCGGAAATTTCAGCCACAAATTTTTAATAGTGGAGCATAAAAACAGAAGAGTCAAATTACCATTTGCATTGGCGGTCGACCTGGGGATGCCATCAAATGAGGAACGATTGGCACTGGGCCGTACGTGGGTATATAATGGGCAGGGTATTTTCCATGCGGACCCCCATAAGGTGCCTTTAAAGGAAAAAACATCAATGCAGTTTCCTCTCCATAGAGAAAGGGATTTCACGCAAGATAAAATTACTATTGGATTTCCATTGAAAATTATATTATTATATCATATTTTATATTATGTTGTTTTAATAGAAAATGGCCCATAACAAATATTTTCTAGAAAAAATCAGAATTTCATTTTTTGATGCAACACTTTGTATAGGAATTTCTTGCCATGAATTTTCTAGATTTTGTCTACTCTATTTTTCTTCTCTTTTCATTGAAAAAAATGAAACAAAAAGACAGAAGGAGAAAATTTTAGCCGATGAATTTTTGTAGAAAATATCTCAATTGAACAAGTTGCGTAGAAAAATCAAATTCTACTGATTTTTTCGGTAGAATATTTTCCAATCAACATTTCTAACATTCATTGCATTTCATTTTAAAAAACGCGCATATAAATTGCGGAATGTTTCAATAGAATGGGTCAAAAACTAAGAGAAAATTCAATAGAAATCCAACAGAATTTTCTAAAGAATTCTCTAGGTTTTTCTATGGAATTTTTTCGTAGGTGAAATGAACCAATTCCAAAATATTCTGGATTTTCGACGGATTTTTAACGAAAAGGAGTAGATGAATATTATTTTTGTAGATTCACTGCAACAAAATTACTACAACAAAATAGAATAGAATGGAATACTTCATTTCCTTGATGCTACTATTAGTTTTACATCTACACAAGCCATAGAAAAATATCTCCAGTAACAGTCCAATAAATTATATTTTTATATCAATAACGCATAATTCATAATGAATAATGACAATATCACAATAAAATTCAACTATTTCACGTGATTTTTCTCGTATCCATCCAACATCTCTGTGGAATTGAAAGATTAACGCAAAAATTGAAGAAAATTCATGATTAATCAACATAGAAATTGATTACCGGAAAATTCCCCAGATTTTTTCCACCGAATATTTTCCATTGAACATTTCGAATAAAAAAACACGCAAAATTGTTTTTGCTATCAGAAAATTTCAGTTGCGGGATTTTGTAACGGATGAAAAACGAGTAGAAAGTTCAATAGAAATTCAACACAATTTTCTAGCGAATTCGCTAGTGTTTCCATGAAATTTTTTCGTGCGTATCGGGAAGACTGAACTGTTATGATGATTCTTCTCACCTGAATCATCGGATGCAGAGGCACCATCGGCTGATGGACGACGTAAAAAGGGGTCGGTGGAGGTGGTGGTGTCTTAGGTGTATGAGTCTGAGCGATAACCCACTGGTGAACCATATTCCGCGTCTTCAATTTCCCGGTATCACCGTCGAACTCTCCCCCAACGGCATCGATCTCCACCTCATTATCCAACTGATTCTCGTGCTTCTGTTCACTCAGACATCCGCAGAGTTTAGGGGTCAGTGTGACACACGTATATCCAGCGAGAAGTAGCTCTACCAAACTACTCAACAGGAGGCCGATACTTGCCAATAGTCCCCCCCAATCGCTCTCTATCTCCACGAATTTTCCGTCTTCGCTCTGATTCAGAGAAAATGAAGCAGAATAAATAATCAAATTAAATGTAAAATGATGAAAGCATTCATTTTTTCAATTTATTTTCCAAAAAGATTTATCTTTTTTTTTGAAAACTAATTCAGTAGCGAAGTGGTCAAACGGTTTAAGTCGATTCTGGCTATTGGCCAGTCATCAATGAATATCTCGAAATCTAAGGGAGATAGCAAAATTTTTCGCATAACCGTTTTAGTAGGACTCAATTCGTTCTACAAAAAAGGTTATTATGAAAATTTCGCTATCTTCCTTAAATTCGGAAAAATTTCTCCAAAACTGAACTAAAGATTAAATTGACTTAAACCGTTTGACCACTTCGCTGTTGAATTAATTAATTAGTTCATAACTAATTTTGTTTTCCTTTTTTTTCAAAAAGATTTATTAAACAAGAAAAACAAAATTAGCTATGAACAATTCGAAACATCTGCGTTATGACATCATAAGACAATTCTTCTTTTATCACTAGTTTCGTAATCTCATTGCGCAGTAGATTAAAAAAATTGGCGTCTGAGATGAAAAAATTGCAATAAAACTGGAAAATACTGGTGACGATTTTCAAAAAACATAAATAAAAAATATAATAGCTGTACGTGAATTTGAATTGATTTCAAGGAATTTGCTTATTCAAATTTGAAATTCAAAAAAATATTTTTTTTTTTGTGTGAAGTGATTGTTGATATTCCAATGGTAGCTTAAATTTTCAAACTCATAGTAAAAATTTAATTACATAAATTGACATTTTAGAATATTAATTAACGGAATTTCCAGGACTTTAAATAATTTCAATTGCCTTCTGGAGCTGAACTTGAAATTTCATTTAATATTCCAGAAATTAACTAATTTGTCAATAAAAAAATGAATGAGAAATGCATATGAATTTGTTCGTGTAGAAAATTTCAGGTTTTTTTATTTGGAATTTCGAGAGTTAATTTCTAACAGTCTATAGACCCAGTGGAAATTTATTCCATCCAATGAAAAATAAAAAAATAGTTTTTTTCGTGTCAAGTGATTGTTGATATTTCAATGACAGCATGAATTTTCGAACTCATGGTAAAAAGTGAATTAAAATCTGTTGAATCTTGCATAAATTGAGAATTCGAAATCATAATTGCCGGAATTTCCATAACAGTAAATAATTTCTATTGCCTCGCAGACCTGACACTTAAAATTCCATTTAATATTCCGGAAATTAACTGATTTGCCAATAAAAAAAATAAATGGAAAATGCATATGAATTTGTCGTTGGTGAAAATCTCAGCATAATCTTTTTGAAATTTCGATTCATTTTATAACAGTCTAAAGACCTAATGGAAATTTATTCCATCCAATAAAGAATAAAAAAAAGTTTTTTATTAAATAATTTCTATTGCCTTGTGGGCCTGAACTTGAAATTCCATTTAATACTGCAGAAATTAACTCATTTGTCAATAAAATCATGAATGGGAAATGTAACGTCATTTCTAACAGCCTATAAATTCCACAGAAATTTATTAAATCCATAAGGAATAAAAAAAGTTTTTTATTAAATAATTTCTATTGCCTTGTGGACCTGAACTTGAAATTCCATTTAATACTCCACAAATCAACTAATTTATCAATAAAATCATGAATGGGAAATGTAACGTCATTTCCAATCGTCTATAAACCCAACAAATTTATTCAATCCATAAGGAATAAAAAAAAAGTTTTTTATGAAATAATTTCCATTGCCTTATGAACCTAAACTTGAAATTCCATTTAATATTCCCGAAATTACCTGATTCGTCAATAAAATGTGAATGGAAAATGCATATGAATTTCTCGTTATTGAAAATTTCAGATTTTATATTTGAAATTTCAAGAGTCATGTTCTAACAGCCTATAAACCGAGTAGAAATTTATTCAATCCAATAAAAAAATGTGCCCATCATACTGATGAGTCCGAGATTTGACCGCATTTAGCCTTGGCTGTGAACTTTCACCGATTCTCGATTCAAAAGTATTTTTCCGTCATCAGAACTCAATTCCAATAGTTTCTATCAAGCGCGTGGAGCCTATTCCCGAGATCTTATCAGTTTCGATTGAGTTATGAATTTCTAAAAAATGTGAAGACCCGTGAAGGACTGCCCGAGCGTGAGCGATCCGCGATTGGTTCATTGAGACCGGTGGATGTAGGCCAAAGAGCCTCGAGTGAATATGAATGATGCCTCGGGGATACAAAATAAAGAGTAAAAGAGGGGAACGATTTTTGTCGACTTGCCGGTAGAAGTAGTACATCGTCAGGTGTGGATCTTAGGTCTCTGACGATTGCTGTTAGCGCGGTTATTGTGGACATGTTGGATAGAGCAAGGGCCACAAGACTCGAGGCGAGATGAGCCGTTGCGAAACCACTGGAATGCGAGGATTTCTTTGATGTTGTGTCAGCTAGAGTTGCAACGAGACCCAGTGCACCGGCTATTAGGGCAGCGGCTCCCGCCCACAGGCCTGCACCTGACGAGCCGAGGGAGACTCCGTGGACGAGCACTAGGACTCCGAACACCACGAGGACGAGTCCTATTTGGGGAGAACGAAATACAGAAGATTATTCTCACATACGCTGGTAGAACAAAATGAAATTTCATGGACAGGGAAAATAAATCATGAAATTTCAGGTTTCACTGAAAATTCAGTACAATTCCAGAATTTTAAGGAGCATGAAGTCGAGAGTTCCTTAATTTACTTCAACTTCCAATCTAATTCAGTAGCGAAGTGGTAAAACGGTACAAGTCAGTTTTGACTATTGACCAGTTTTTAATTAATATCTCGGAATCTAATGGAGATAGCAAAATTGCTGTTATAACCTTTTTGGGAGAGCCCATTGAATGCTACAAAAAATGCAATTACGAAAATTTTGCTATCTCCCTTAGATTCGAGAATATTCCTCAAAAACTCAACTGGGAGGTAAGTCGATTTAAATCGTTTTTTTGTGATACCTGCCTCGAAAGTGCACTTTTCGATACGGTTTAGTGTGCCGAAAACGGTTGTTTTCCGCACGCTCTTGAACTTTACGCACTCGTGCACAAAAACAACCATATTACCTCCACTACCGTTTCGAAAAGTGAACTCGGCAGGTGCCACAAAAAATAGGATGTGTTACACGTGCGTGTGAAAAAGTGGAACTTTACGCACTAGTAGCAGAATATACTATACCACTTCGCTATTGAATTTGAATGTGCCAAATTACATTGAATTTCCAGTGATTTTTTTTCCCTAAATGGCATTCAGTGTCACTGGCCTGAAAATTCTAGAATATATTTACCGGAATTTTCTGGTTTTCTATTTATTTTTAGAGAAAGATAGAACTGAAATTTATAGTTCTCTTTGATTTTTCCACGAAAAAATTCCGAATTCTGACTTTTCAATGACGAAATTCCTTGAAATTTCAGTGGTAATTAAATTCGATAAAAATTTCCAAAAAGTGTACCGGAAATTTCAGGCAAAAATTTTTAACAGTGTATAATGCGTTGAAAGTGTGAACAGGTGGCATTGCTGAAAAAAAATACTCATGACGAGACCTGATCAATTAATTTTTAAAAATAAATAAACAGCCAAGATCACGTTCGAAAGATAATCCACTCGGGCCTTTTAATTGAATACACAGCAAAAACGAGTGTCTGAATTTCACGCACCTTTTGCAGATATTTTTCAGACATAAAAAAAAGTCTGAATGAAACGAAAATGTGTCTGAATTTCAAACGAATAGGTGCCTAAATATCTTAATTGATGTTTGAAATTCAGACAAATTTTCATTTTATTCAGATGTTTTTTGGTGTCTGAAAAATGTCTACAAAAGGTGTGTGAAATTCAGACATTCCTTTTTGCTGTGTAGCTTTCGTCATGAGTATTTTGAAAAAAAAACCGAATCGGCCGAATGGTTCAGGAGAGATCTGCAGAAAACGAACCACTCGAACGATCGAAATTTAGCACAAATTTGGATCTCAGTGGTACCATTCGGAAGACAATTTCAGCGTCTTTGCACTAACTATTCTCGAGTTATTGCCACAGCTCTGGACGTACGCATATAGATATTTACACGCATACAGACATTTCTTAAAAACCCCTTTTCTTCACGTTTTATGACATTTTCTAGACATTTTCACCCAAAATTAGAAAATCGAAAAAAAAATCACGTTTTCATCGGTTTAATTCGGAAGCACAAATGATATTTCGTGGATATTTCACATTTTCTTCTCTGTGAAAATGGAGGTCAACACTTTGCGAGAAATCACTTTTTGAAAATAATCACTTCCTTCTCATAAAGAAGCTTCCTCCGTCTTGTAAAATTATCTACATGAAAAATCTCTTCACGATTTCGAAAAAGACTCTTTACGATGGAAATTGGATTGTTTATAAATTATTTATGAAAAAAACGTCCTAATTCCAGAAATTTGCCATTTATCAGATATTTTATAAATCTTCCGCAACATGTGAACTTTCCATTTTTTCTGCTGTTCCAAATGTTCTCTAACTGTGCAAAATGGAGAATCAAATCTAGATCTTCAGAGATTAAATAATAAAACCATAGCAAAATTTCTGGGATCTATCGAGACTTGAGTGGAAGTTCCGGGATTCGATTGTAAATGTTGAAAATATTTCAATTTTCGATTTGCATTAAAATCTTGCCCGATCACAATTAATTAATAACATTTTTCGCTACTAGTGAAAGGGAGGTAAATAAAAAAAAATACTTTAATGAAACGTAATTGGCACCCTTGATTGAAAATTATCATTACGTCAAATAGGATCTCCGCCTCCTCCCCCCTCCCCTACTTTTCTCAAGTCATCAACTTTCCGCTTGATTCCCACGACCAATGCCCAGAAGAAAAATATAGTTTCTCAAAAGTTGATTGTCTCCATAATGTGAAAATAATCCCATAAAATAAAACCACAAAAAATGAGAAAGCCGTTCGGTAACTCGATAGAGAATGTTCCACCGAAGAGAATGCGCCTAATTACATAAAAATTGAATGACAACATCCACAAGAACGTTTGACTACTATATCCATCGATTAGATGGATTTCCATGCCAACTACGTTTTGTCTCATCTCTATTGAAGAAAAATTCAGTAGTGAAGCGGTGAACCGATTTAAGTCGGTTTTGACTTTTGGCCAGTTGTTGATTAATATCTCGGAATCTAAGAGAGATAGCAAAATTTTCTTCATAACCTTTTTTATAACCCTCAATTAGCTCTACAAAAAAGGTCGTGACAAAAATTTTGCTACCTCTTATAAATTCCGAGATATTCGTCAAAAACTGGTCAATACTCAAAATCGACTTAACCCGGTTTACCGCTTCGCTACTGAATTACACATGAAAAAATTTTATGGGGAATAGTACTTCTACGAGAACTCCATAAGAATTCTAACGCGGTTTTATCAGAAGTATATTGAAAATTATGTTGTTCATTTAATTATTAAAATTATGCGACTTATTTAATTATTATAATTACGTGTTTTTCAATCGTTATTTTTTAGTAGAAAAAAGTCGGTGAATGTTGATTGTTTGATGCAGCTTATGCTCTTGGGATTATTTTCGTGGATTTAATTATGAGAAATAAATAAAAATCTAGCGGGAAAAATTAGAAAATTAATGCCCACGAGTTTTTATGCAAAATGACACCCTAACGCGGCATAATCTTCAATAGACTTTAAACAGAACTCCAGTAGAATTCTCATTGAGTTCCACTAGCAATTCTACAGTTTTTCTTCGAGAAAAGAAATTCTATTAAATTTTTCACGAGTGCAAATAGTACTGCAAGAATTCAGGATCATGAATTCCCTCAGTGTTTTTTCTTCAATTTTATTACGAGAAACAAAAAATACTGCAAACAGAAAATTTATGCCCAAGAATTTCAACAGACAAATAAAAATCTGCAGAAATTTAATTTTTAATCGTTGTTTTTTCAACTTAAACTATTCTGCTGGAATCCTTTCTACCGGAATTCTTGAGATTCTACTATTCTACTATGAGAAACAAATAAAAATCCAGTGAAAAAAAATGGAAAATTTATGCCCAACAATTTCAACAGAAGAATAAAAATCAACAGAAATTTAATTTTCAATTATTCCCTTGTCAATTTAACTTATTCATGAGTTCACAAATTTTTGCTCGCATTCTCCTACGAAAAACACCTAAAAATACAGCGAAAAAAAATTATACTCAACAATTTCAACAGAAAAGCCGAAATCTCCAACAGACTTTTACCAGAACTCCAATAGAATTCTCAGAACAAATTCAATAAGTGTCCTTCACGCGCGGAATTTCTATAAAATTTTTACGACTGCAAATGCCCCCTCCCCCTCCCCCCGAGACCGTGCCACCTGCTCTAGAACCCCATAAACCCACCTTACCCCTTCATACCCACCGAGCAACAACTGTCCGCAGGACGTCAGCATCATAACATTGCCATCACTCCTCTTCCCCTCATCTTTCCCCTCGAATTTTCGTTTCTCCCCATTATCCTCCCCTCGCTCGGCGATCCTCCTCTCCTGCGGGGAATTATTCGGTATCAAAACCACCTTCGAGTGCTTCGACTCCCTGCAGCTCTCGGTCTTCGAGTCCCCAGTGCCCCCGGAGTTCTTCGACACATCCGACACATTCGACTCCTGACTCCTCACCGTGCAATCCAGCGCTATTCCCTTATCCATATTTCTTCTCTATGACAATCCCCTTCGTTTCACACTTTTCAATCATCAATTTCCACATTTCACTCCCAACAATTGATTATTACTTCAACAAAACCTGTTTACCACTCATCGGAACTACAATTTCAATTTATAAAACCAACAATTAATAATTATTCCCTTCAATTTTATTATTTCTCAATTTATTCTCTGGTCTATTGACTCATTATTAAGAGTGATTTGGGAGGAATCGTCACATCTGTTCCGTTCACTTGGAAAATAATTGTTCACCGGAGTGTAGTAATGCCCCGGAGTAAGAGCGTAATAGTGCGCTTGGTCAGTGACTGACTACGACTGGTTGGCGCTCCCCGAGTCTCTGGTAGAATAAGCTCGCCGGCCCAGAGACCAATACAAGTGGGATCGGGCAAATTGCAATCGTTCTCTCATTAAACTCATGCATTACCATTGCAACTCCCATCCGCGATGGCCAAAAACATTTTACTTCCCTCCAGTATTTTCTTACTCCTCCATTTATTTATCATTAAATTAGTATACGCCATTACAGTCATTAAATTATCGTCATTAAATTACGTAAAAATGAGAGGAGAGTGAAATAGAGATTCCCGGGATTGCGAAATTACCGCGTGATGGGCGAGGGGGAGGAGGGGGGTAAAAAATTCATAATGCGAGTGAAAAAGAATCTGCTCGAGTTTTATGCCCCATTATCCGGATAATACGTCCAATGGGTTTTCGAACGATTGGCGAAAGCGCAACTCCAGATCAAGAGTTGTACGTATGAACTTTTCTCTCATTCCAGTCATACTCTGGCTACGGGTAATACACGGTGAATTGATTGTCTTTTTTTGGCTCCTTCTTGGGAGCTATCGCTCTCTCGTTTCCACTCGCGGTGGCTTTTTTTCGCGGGCACAGGCATTCACCTGAAGGAAATAGTATAGTGTGTTTACACGTAAAATACTTGTACTTGCGGTGTGCACATGCCAGCGTCGTCCTGGGATAGAGGTGTACCGGGTTATTCGCGTTTGCTTTTTGAGGAATGATTGATTTTTTGGGAATATCAGGCGCTGGGAGCGGTGAATGCGCCTCTTTGTGGGGGTTCGTTCCAAATTGCCGCCAGTTTTCAGGAGGTAGTTGGGATTTTGAGGGAGGGAGCGAAATTTTTGGAGAGATCTTTTTTGGAGGGAGAAAGACAGCTTTGAAATAGTATATTTCGTCATTAGGCCGAAAAAAACTTTTCTGGCGAATACGAAGTTTGCAGCACGAGCCGAAGGCGAGGGAGGGCTGCAATCATATTCGTCAGAAAAGTTTTTTTTGGCCGTATGACGAACAATATTTTTTGTCATGACGGCCCTAGGTAGAGATTCGCGGAGGCGCTGCCTTACGGCCGGAATGACAAAAAGGTTTTGAGAGAAATTTTGGTAAGTCTTTTAGATTGGAAAATATGTGTTAGTTTAGTTTTTTTATTTTTGATAGACGAAGCGGAATTTAAATTATAGCGAGAGCTTGTGAATTGATAATTTACCAGTTCATCACCAGTTTTTGCGAGATTGTGTGAAGGAATTTTTTGGAGAGGAGAAAGAGAGGTTCAAAAAAGGTTTTTAGAAAAATTTTGGCAAGTCTTTTGGATTGGAAGATATGTATTAGTTTATTTTTTCATTTTTGATATTTAATGTGTGGGATAGATGGTTTGTTTATTCAATCATGCCTTGCCGTCAATGTTCAATTTGTCCTGATGGACGAAGCAGAATTTAAATCATAACAAGAGCTCGTGATTTGGTAATTCACATTGTCTTTCGTGAAATAAATTAATTCTAAATCATCAGCAGTTTTGCGAGATATTTTGGATTCTATGGGAAATGGCGGAATTTGTGTAAAGATCTTTTTGGAGAGGAGAAATAAAGCTTTAACGAAGGCTTTTAAAGAAAAATTGGTAGCTTTGGATTGGGACATAATCGCAGGTTTATTTTTTTTATTCTTGATGTTTAATGTAGGAAATAGATTGTTTGTTTACTGAATCATGTCTTGCTATTAATTTTCAATTTGTCCTGATGGATGAAGCAGAATTTAAATTGTAGCAAGAACTCGTGAATTGATGTTTCACGTTATCTTTCGCGAAATAGATTAATCCTAAATCATGACCATTTTTTTGAGATATTTGGGATTCTGGGGGAGATCTTTTTTGTAGAGGAGCAATAAAGCGTCGAAAGAGGTCCTGACAAGAATTTTAAATTTTGGTATCTCTTAATTTACATTTTTTTGTAAACTTACAGAATTGATCATTTCTTTGAGTTTTTTCAAAAAAAATTTATAGTTTTTGTTTGGACTAGATTGATTGTTTAGTCATATGATCATATGATCATATCGTGTCCCTCATGTTCAATTTTTTCTATCTATAAAGCTACAACATAATTATCAAAATTTCAAGAAATTTCCTTGAAATTAACACCTAAATTGTAGTAATCGTGTAGTTTTTGTGTTTTTATTAAAATTCTAGTGAAAAATACAATAAGTCTAATAAAAATTGCAATACTTTAGTTAAAACTTCGTAGAGTATTTTATTTTTTAATATACTTATTGCATTTTTCATTGAAAATTTACAAATTACAATTTAAAAAAACAAAGTAATAATAGCAAATCAATTAAAATTACAATACTTTAGTAAATAAAACATCGGGGCTGATTTTTACTAGAGGTTTTCCTCAATAAATGATTTCATTTAAATGGTCTCAACATTTTCCCCATGTTTAACATTTTCAACTGACAATTTTTATTGACAAATTTGATGAGCATTGAATCTAATTTTTCCTGATGTACAAAGCAAAAATAGAACTATACTGCATCCGTGAATTTATATTTAACATTAAGTTTCACATCCTTACTGTACATCGTTGCGGTTCGGGACTTGCGTGCACTCGCTACGAAAAATTTTAATACTTAATCACAAGTTTACGGTACATATATGAGTTTTTTTATATTCCATAGAGATCCAGCGCCGGAGTAATGCGAAACGCTAATTAGAATCATGCATTTATAAATGTATTTACATTGAAATACTCAATGGGTTTTCATTTATTCTTCATTGAGGCATTTTGTTTCGTCTCCGGCGGTGGAATTTCAGGGAAAATTGTTGAGGCATCTTGAAGAGCCATTTCAATCTGCGGAGATACTTTTCCAGAGGTTTCTCCGCCTTTCTACCCAAGCATCCAGTGCGCCGGGGAGAAATGCTCAGTGGCCGTGGGCCTCTGACAAGTTTCCTTTGGATATTCAATGTTCATTGGGGATTCATTGATTCTTGCCTTCATCAATGAATTCACCTTCACTAATTTATCAGTTTCATAATTTCGTTAATGTAGATAAGATTCACTTATTCTTTTCGATTACATCATTTCCGATAGATCATTTCAAGATTTTCAATATGCAAGATTTTGGTGAGATTTTATTATTTAAAAATACAGGCCTGAATTTTATTTATCGTATTGCACTGTTCGAAAGCATTTTTTTAATCTGAGAAAATTTTTTAATATATATATATATATATATATATATATATATATATATATATATATATATATATATTTTTTTTAAAGGATGATTCATAAAAGAGCATTTTAATTTTATGAATAATCAATTTTACATCGTTGAGTCGTTATTTAGATTACGTCCTGATTTTTGCCTCTTTCTCGAATTTCCTAGAAATTCCTTGCATTTCCTCGAATTTTCTGGAAACTCCTTGAAGTCTCTCGAATTTTTTAGGACTCCCAGAATTTCCTCGAAATTTCTAGAAACTCCTTGAATTCTCTCGAATTTTCTAGAAACTCCCAGAATTTCTTCAAAATTTCTAGAAACTCCCAGAATTCCCTCGAATTTCCTAGAAATTCCTTGCATTTCCTCGAATTTTCTGGAAACTCCTTAAAATTTTTCAAAATTTCTAGAAACTCTGAGAATGTCCTCGAAATGTCTAGAATTTTCTAGAATTCCGATAGATGACGCTGCACATAAGGACCGTTTCCCAAAATGACCCTCCATATTGAAACCATAGACGTATCCAAGTCAAAAATAATGTTTAATTAATTTCTATTTCAATTAGTTATTCATACGAAAGGAGTGTTTTTTTCCTAATTTTTGTTGGAATGTGATTAAAAATTCGTAGTTAAACATGAGAGCGTTTATGAGTCTAGGTCATTCAACATTTTGCACAGATTTTATTATTCAAAATTGAAGGAACAATATAATTTCATTTGTCATTCTGGCGGAAAACATTTAAAAAATCTTAGAAAACTTAAAAATTATGTTTTTTGAGGACGATTCATAAAATAATTAATTTATCAACTTAATTAGTTAAATAACTCATTTTTGAAGGTTACATGACCTTTTTGAATACTCTAAGAATAATCTATTTTACACCCTCGAATCATTTTTTCGAAATCGTAAAAAAAATCATCTGTATCCATTCCCATAATTTATTCATAAAAAGAAAATGTTTCTTTTTCAAAGAAAAGTAATTCGCAACAATTTAAATATTTAAAGTGTGAATTCAGTTCACCTTTTAAGAGTTAAATTTAATTTTCAATTTTGAACGTTTTAAAAAAAGAATTAAAAGCTGCTTTTTGCGTAAAATTCATTCAAAAATTGAAAAATTGCAATTTTTCAATATTTTATGCTAAAAAATACGATTTCCGAAGGTTTAAAAAGCTCTAAACAAACATTTAAAAATGTTCTCCATTTCAAACCGCAGAATTGATTTCAAATGACCGAAGAAAAAGTGTTATTTCGTCATTGAATGCGGAAATCGCGGCGACCACTTGCGGACCGGAAAGAGGAAAAGAAGTATTATCCACACGGAAGGGAATAGATCCATTTTCCATTCATGTATTCCCCCCCAATTTACAAATTAAATACAACTCAATGATTTTCTCAGCGTGCAAAACGCGTAAAACTATAAATTCCCTATATATACGGGTGAATTTGATGCATCTCGCTGATTGCCCCCGCATATATTACTCCCCATGCGGGCACATAATACGAAATGAAAAAACTTTCATCACGTTCCTGTTACGTACGATCAAAACCACTGGACAATTAATATTCATAATGCACAATTAGAGCGGAAGAGCATTCCGCAGTATTTTCACAAAGTATTTGACAGTTAAAATTCACTAAATAATTCATCAAACGTTTTGAATGGAGAAAGTCACTGGTATTTTTCTGGAACTATAAACGTACGAGCGAATGTGACAGAATGTACATTTTATTCACGATTTAATGCTGTGATATTATCTCGGCAAAGCCTTTCGAATAATTTTATGACTTATTTAAACAAGTGGAAAAGCATGTAATCGATGTTAAATTCATTAATGCATCCTTTTTGTGGTGAATTGATGCAATCTTGTCGTTCATTTTGTAAATTAATTCAGTCTGCTTTTATATCTGAATAATCACGTACGAAAAAATTAATAGAAAACCTAGCGAATTCGCAAGAAAATTCTGGTGGTTTTCTATTGAACTTTCTATTAGTTTTGTGCCAAATCTATTAAAGAAAACCGCAATTTATTTATTTATAATTATTTTTTCATCTTTTTTATTAAAAGAGAAGAAAAGTAAAGCGGAATAAACTTAGAAAATTCATGTCCGGGAATTCCTATCAAAAATGTCAGAATAAAATCAGATCTACAGAAAATAAATAAAATTTAACTCCCATGTTTTTTTTCAATAGAAATGTTTAATGGAAATTCTACACAAAAAATGTATAGAACTCGATTTTTCGATACAATTTATTGTATTGAGATATTTTCTATAGAAATTCCTCGGTTCTCATTTTGAAATTTTTTTGTTTGATTTAAAAAATAAAAAGATAAAAAAAAATAATCCGGAAAAACAGAAAATGTCTCAATAGAAAGATGACGTTCTATTAATTTTTTCTATAAAACAGTTTCTATTAGACATTTTCTATGAAAAAAACTCGCGTAAATTTTCTATCGAATTCCCGAAATTTTTCCTTTGGATTAGTGAAAATGCAAACTTTTCAAATAATTCGACAGACATTTTCCCTTTCATTTAAATTGCAGCAACACTCGAGGACCAAAAGAAAAAAGCGTATCGTATTACCAGCGAAAATTAAAAGAAACATAGTCACATTCTGATAACCGCTTTTCACTAATTTCTCGGTTTAAATAGCCAAAGCACTCTCAACCCACCCATATTTCTGGAGAGTTGAGATGTAGAGTGCGTGTGAAGTCGAGGTAAGTAGCATGGAAATAATTCGTATGGAATGTAGGTGGGTACCCTTGAATGAGCAGCATTTCATCAGCGAGAGATAATCACGTATTGATATTGGTATTTTGTTGAAGTACTCAACGATCAGTTGTTTTTCACTGCATTGGCAATTCGCATTTAAATAATCCTCGTTTCTTTTTTTTCTTTCGTCACGGGAAACAATGGCCTGTGGGGGTACTACATCCGGTGGTATTTCTGCAATACTCCCTTATTTACTTGTCCAATTATTTAATTATGCATTGAGTACATAATTATATAAGGCCGTGACTATTCGCACCATTGCGTGAATCACTCCCGTACACTTCATACACTCCACGCATGCGTGAAGTTTGTGTGTTTCACGCAGCCGATTTTTCATACTGCTGTGTATTTCACGCAGTTGAAGTTTCATACTACTGTGTTTCACGCAGTTGAAGTTTTATACTACTGTGTGT